TAAGCTCCAGCTGTAGCCAGTCAGGCAAATTTTCTGTAAATCATTTCCTTAGGAACCTAAGATTACTTTCACTGATAGTACAAATCATGTAATTGGCAACATCAATTGAGAACTTGGCAGCTGTGAGCCACTGATTGCCCACTGATTGAGCCATTGTACAATCAGTGGGTATTGCTCACTACAGCACATTATATATATAAAAAAAAATCTAGGCCTGCTGAATTAAATCCCTTGGTTAACAGGTTCTTAAATCAGTAATTTATTAGTACATGTACAATGTATACAGTAAAAGCTTCCTGACTGTGTTTTTGATGGTAGTCCAGACCAAACAAAAAATAGTAGCCCCTAAAAAGGGGCGCACAAAACGATAGATAAACCACTGACTGTGTTTTTGAGGCTTTTGGGGCAGTGGGTCTTGGGTACAGTACAATACAGTAAAGCAGGGCCCATCCCTCTCTTTCTACCACCTTCAATTTGTGGGTGTGCGCTAATTTTTAGTAACATTGTAGTCAATTCTGACCTAATAGACTGTTGGGGTGAAAATATGAGCATTCAGAACTTGAATGTTTTCTTGTTGCAAATAGAGAAAAATGAAGCACAGGAATTATCAGAGAACTGATTAATCATTGATTAATTGGTGTGCCTGCAACCTTTGGCAAAACCTCTTCTATCAAATGCCCTTTTAAGGCAATATGCTGTGGCCAATACTGTATGACAATGATGTCATGCCTTAAGTTTGTTGGATAACGAATTATGTACTCTAGTAATGAGAGATCTACCAACCTATAGGTCTTTGACCTTGGTTGACCTTTAGGAAGGAAATGATGTATTTAGACATCATCTTAAAAAAGGACAGGAAGTGCCCACAATGTTTCAGTCTGTAGGGCGTTTGAAACTTAACACACTTGAATGATGTAAGGCACGCTGGGTTAATGCCTCTGGTTGAGGACATATCATTGGTCAACTTGAAAGGAAAGTACCATATCATGATGTCTTATAATTACTGTATATATTCATTTGGGTACAAAAGCAAGAACAGTAAATATACCCCTTTTAGGCCCAAATCAATTTATTTCAATTCTTACGGTTTGAAGAATCAACTTTGCAAGAGAACTTCCAAATACTGAGGGATAGGATAAAATAGATTCTTTAAATATTGACCTGGAGAGAACTAGAACATGGATTTTAAAAAATAGCATGTCATAATTTATATCATGATTTTGATGATATGCAATGCAACATCAGATTTGAATTCATATCCACAGATGATTGAACAGCTCAATTAATCATGCACACATCCTGTTAATATTTTACTTTGACATCTGTTAAGACTGTTGCACCATTACTAAGACCTATGTTATTAAGGGTATATTGCCTATAGCCTCATACCCGCACACATAATCATTCATATATGGCCAGTGCTTCATGCAAGAGAGCTTGTATTATCCACATGGCTCTTCTAATCACACAAACATCCTGTTTATAATAATTTGACATCCCTGCAAACTGTTGCAGCATGGAGGCAGTAGTAAGGCCTATCTTAGGCTATTGCCTCATTGTCTCACACACTTCCATATATGGTCTGCTCCATGGGTAGGATTGTGTAACCGGAGGTCCCCCGATGCGATTGGTTGATACAGGGATGCTTTGACCAATCAGAGGCCGTCCTTTTGTCACGTGACCCCGATCTCACAGGTAAATGACCCCGGTGACCTCTGCAAACAATGAAAGACAAGAAGGTAAGGCCGCCGGTAGTTACATAAATTTATGCTCCCGTCGCGATCAACTTTGACCAACATTCGGGAAAAAGAACTCTAGCAGACGGTTTGGGGACACTAAACTACGATAAGAAGACACACTTTGCACCTGTAAGTATCCCTTTTGACATGTGTGAAGTCCCAACAGGAGTGTTTTTGTTTAAAAATGGTGTCTCTTTGGACAGGTATGTGCGTTTGGACAGGTTAGAGATACTGCTGCAACCGGTGTGTGTGTATATAGTATGCCGTTACAGCGATCAACTTTGACCAAGATTAGGGAAAAGGAACAGTTTGGTGACACTAAACTGATAGGAAGACACCCTTTTCACCTGTAAGTATCTCTTTTGTCACCTGTTAAGTCCCAACAGGTGTACGTTTGTTTTAAAATGGTGTCTTCTTGGTCTTTGGTATGTGCGTAGTTAGAGATACTGCTGCAACCGGTATGTGTGTATAGTTTGTCGCAGGGTAGACCGGTGCCTTTTGTACCATCTTGAAACTTTGAAGGGCTCTTTATACCATGTTGTTATCCTTCTTTGTTGGTAAACTTCAAGTGTTTGTTGCTCTGGTCACTGTTTTAAGTGGTGTTTTCGTCTTAAAGTTGCTGAAAATGTGGGCTAATGAGTGTTGACATGTGACAGTTGTGCACATAATGTTAGTAAGGATCAGACTTTGTAACATGGCAACACCTGTATGTCTACTGCTGACCTATATACAGTCCTTAGGTCTATACATAATGTCTTAAGTGCCCTTCAAAAAATATGCTTGAAAATGTAGATAAACTTGCAGTTAAACTTACAGCATGAATGAATGCCGTAGGAAGGTTTAGTTACCCCCTAGTACTTGGTATGTTTGGGCACTCCTATATTCCAACTCTCAACTACTTAGTAGCCAAATCTTCTGACAAGCCTATTGAAACCTAACCCTAACACCATGTCTTAACATAGAGGTGGTCCAACATGTTTTTATGGATTGAAGAAAGCATGAATGGAAGTCTTGGGGAGGTAACTTACACCCCTACTAGTATTAGTATAATGTTTAAACACAACAGTTACTTTGTTTGGCCACTCCTATATTCAAACATTCAACTAGTCTTACGTTCTGTCAAGCCAAACCTAACCCTAATGCTACGTCTTAACGTAGGGATGTTGCAACATGTTTTTTCTTGAGTTGAGATTAAGGGTAATCAAAAATTAGTGTCAAATGTAAACTTAAGGATAATGCTAAATACTGGTAAGTAATAAGATGATATACTGTCATGTACAATGTATATGGATCTTTTTGGGATCAAATAAATGATATTGTTGCTGCAACTGACAAGTCTAACAGTCATACAAATTGTTGCTCTAAACTACAGAATTAGTTTAGACATGGATACTGTACAGTGTGGTTTTATCTGATAAGCCCTTTGAAAAGGGAAGTTGGTGTAATGTTACATTTAATCACTATTTAAAGCTTCCGCATAGATTTTAGGATAAGCTTTAAGAGACACTAAAGAGCACAATCATGATACCAGTGTTAGAAAGCCAGTTTTGCCTGGCTTGGGTTTCGAATAACATGTCAGTCACCATTTCCGTTACTGTAGTACTGTTGTATGATTGCCAGTGAATTGGACTAAATTCAAACACTGGTGTTGTCATTGCCAAATATAACTTGGACATCAAGCACTACTGGGCTTAAGTTATACAATTAAGGGATGATGTCCACTTTACTGTCTGTATGATGATACAAATTGTATTGGTGCATTTTTTATAGACTTTGATAATCATAATTATCATGAATGCAGTGCAATTTTTCCCACCTTCTACTTTCTACCGCAAAATTAAGTTGTAAACTTAATGAATGTACAATATAATTGCCTTGAGGAAACACTAGTTTACAGTAATCACAAATAGGTACCTAATAGTATATAAATAAAACAACAAAAACATTATTGCTTAGTAAAAAAGATAATCCCTACCCACCGACCCTAATTTTTTTTCAAGACTGAAACAGGAAACACAACATTTCTTTTCCTAGGCCTTATATTGTTATAAACCTGCCTTTCCCCTGCAAGTCTCTAGTGTTACTGACAGTTTTAGTAGGGGATGCTACCTGAATTGTCTGACCATTTCCAAAATAATATCCAGTAACTGTTGCTTGACTAACTGTTTGTTGGCGTATCTTATTACCTGGATATCTAACCTTCACTGACGTGTCAGTCCATATATTTGGTTACCTTCTTTGGGTGGACCCCTATACAAGGGACATAGATTTTTCGAGCTAATGCTTTTCTAGCTCCATAATCTGACTCCTGAGTGATGTAACATTGTACAACTGGTTTTTCAACATTAACATTGAAAATATCAGTGTCCTCATGCATTATCACTTTAAACCATACTGTATAAGTTGGATCACAAGTTGGATCATTAGAGATTGCCAAAGTCTAATAATAATAAAAGGAAGATAATTCCTACCCTAACTTTTTCAGGACTGAAACAGGAAACACAGCATTTTTTCCTAGGCTTTTAATAGTAAAAGCTGAAAAAAAATGGTCATTTTGTCCCAATCCTATCTGCACCTCACGTGTCAGTCCCTCTATTTGGTTCCCTAGCAACACTACAGGTGTGCAGTAATAAAGACGTCCTAATATGGCCAGGTGGGGTCTCTTTTCTTCGCTAGGCAAACTTTCCCGCCCGAAAGGTTTACAAATTAAGTGTGCCATTGGACAGAGCAAGCAAGGCTGTCTGGGACATGAAAAGGGTCCTAGATATTGCTAGTCCTTATTAGGAATTACCATCTTATGCAGCTGGACTTCTTTTGAATTAAGTTTGCTAACAAATACAAAAGTGGGCTCTTTAAGCAAGAACTTGTGGCCCTCTAATGTAAAATAAAGTCTTCCAAAAGTTAAATCAATCTGTATCTATGTCTAAATAGCTGGTATGATGGCGTAACACACCAGGTTCGCAGGCACGCAGTGCGGCAGCAGCTGGCTACATTACACCGAATGCACTGTTCAACACCTAACTCATGATGATGAACATCTAACTCTATAACATTGTTTAAAGCTAATGATAATGCCCCTACTGTACTTGGTGACAGCAAGTTCCACTCTGTGTTCTACATCTGTATGATAAAAGTGAAATTTACAAAAATTACATTTGATAACAAAATAATGTTTTGCATTTCTAATTGTCCCTTACCTAGGTGCCTATTTTGACTGTAGTGTCTGAAGTGACTGAAGAGACACACTGTATATACTACTGAATTCGAACCAGCGACATCGTCAGTAAGCTGTCCGAGGCAGAGTTAAGCCATGCCTGATGAAACTGACACCACCCCAGGGGCGTCTAACGGTGGGAGTGAAGGGGGTAAGTCAACTTCTGTCTCTAATTTATATTACATTCTCTTTCTGAATCACAAAAATCAGTTGTCATGATTTCAAATCATTCCAATCATGCTTACCTCAGATTTCATTTTCTGAAGTCTTTGATATATAATATATGATACACAGTCTTATAATTAGTGACTATCATTATACTAAATCTATTCTAATGCCTAATATGATAAATAAAAGTTACATGATGTTTTTATACTGGTTTAGGACTAGTCCTACATTGTACAATGTAATTAAAATTCATATCATAATTCATATAGTTACTGAGAGGTTGAAAGAAAATCTGTATAATGTATTTCATGCTTACAATTAATTAGAGTTACTATAGATTAACTTGATTAATACACTTGGTGATTTAATCTAATGGCTCATGCTAATACCCATGTGTCAGATTAAGAGACATTGAAAATGTCTTATTCAGTATCCAGAGATGTGTGCATTGTCTTAGAGTACAATGTACAAGAAGATAAATTGTTTTGCTTTGTAATAAGAATAATTTTGAACATAATGTGTAATTGAATTTTCTAGATCAATTTTCTTCTCATGTCTACATCAGTAGTACATGTATCCTGACAATGTATGTCTACAATGATTATATTAAACAGCTGATTGCTTTATAAATTTAATAGAATTCAGTCAGCTTCTTGAAATCAATGTTAACTATTACTATAAGTAGTACAGTATGTACATGATAATGACAATATGGTATACTACTCTGAAAAAATGCTTTCTTACTCTCTCTTTGATTCCAATTCCTTTAAATTCTGCATGAGTGACAATGAATATATTGATCCATTATATTATAAGTAACATGATACGCACAAGTATGTAACATACAAATAGACTTTATAACAAGTTCTATACATTTTTGCATTCTAAATGTGTTCCAGTAGTGTCAGTGTTGGATTTTATGACTCTTTGTTATGGGTTATTGAATATTCTTTGTGAGAAAACTTAGCATCAATGTATTACATGTAGTTAGTTAAATGCTATTATAATACAGTCATACATACACAAACATTGTTGTAAAAGTTACCCCCCGTTTTTTCCTTTCCTGTATTAAAGGTTCGGCATCGTTTGAGCGACCGGCAAGTAGTGGCCTTAAGCAAGCTAATGGCATGCCATCTGTCGAAGCGCCCGGTGTGTTAAAGTTGTTCATGTTTGTGTGTTCCCTAACACATAGATGTGTGTGTGTAGCTTCATCTGTGCATGTAACCCATTTCATTCCTTTTAACCCCTCCCTGGCAAAGGCTGTGGCCATGCATGCAGGGTTAGGGTTAAAGTGTCCATAGGTGTTCAGGGCTCGAAATTTTCCCTTTTTCAAAATTACCTGCACCAGACAGGCAAGTCTTACCTGGATCATGCTAAAAACTCGCCAAATAGCAGTTACCCAGACAAGCAACTGATGATTTTGGAAATGGTCAGACGTTTCATCCACTACCTTTCTATACTAAAATTATATACTAAAACCTGTTCAGAAACCATTGCCACTATAATATATTTCTTCTATACTTCATGCTAATCATAGGTCAGATTGTAAAATAATAAAAATCCACATAAATGTACATGTACATGTAAGCCTAAGACATCATGATTCTCATTCTCATGATAGGCATCTTGAAAGCTTTTCAGACAGTTTCCACTCTTTTTGAAGGTCTTTTGAATTGTTGGGAATTTGGCTTTTTTAAAAACAAATCTATTAAAAGCTTTTGCAATCACGCCAGCTTGTTTTTGTCTGTAGCAGAAGAAAGGAAAGTGGCCAAAGCAAGATTTATCAGTTGGTGGTACAGTAATTGCTCAGAAGTGACTGTCGCTTTCTTTCACCGTATCTATTTGCATCTGTTTCACTCAACTGTTGCACCTGTTGCTATACTAAGGGTGTAATTCTTTCACATAACATTATGACTAGACACTCATGGTGATAAACTGATAGCAATAGCACTAACTGTGAATTTTTTTAACACTTTAAAATTGGTGTTGCATTTGGTGTGTTAGTTAGTTAATTACATGCTTGTGGTGTGAGCTTGTGATGCTTGTTTGTGTTACGTTTACTAAACATGTTACAGTCACGCTTTGTAAATGTATTGTCGTTAGATAATATCATCAAAGGTTGGAATACTTGCATTAAGCCATATATATATGCATTCATGTGTAGTCAGCTCTGAGCCCAAATGCAAGCAGGAACAGTCTTATGTTCTGACTTAAATGGTACTATGGCTGTCAAAACAGTCATGTAGGTTGACTCGCTGTAACATACAAATATGTAGGGTTGTCGGAACATAAGGGGCTGTATTGTGTAACAGTTTTGAGGGGGAGGGGCATTTACTCTTTAAATTCATTCAAACACACTTGCATTACACACACAACAACAGAACAAAGGACCAGTTTTTTAAAAACCACAGCATTCAGGAGTAAGACTTGGATTCTATTTTATGATTAATATCAGAAACAGACTGTCATTATGATTGACAGCACAGCTGCATGGATCAGTACAATTTGTCTGTCCTTTATTTTTAAGACTCAGTCTAATGAACTTCAAGATACTTACAAATCAAAGGCTGATGTTATATTAGAGCACTGATTCATATACAGTTATAAACACTACATTTGTCCATGAAATGATTATACCATATTGTACAACATTGATCAAATGACATACTAAAGGGAAAACCTGACACCCCCATTCAAGAATGGCATCTCCCCATGATCTCAAATATTATGGTCATGTATTGAGAAGGTTACTGACTCAGAGGTCAAATGCTGGCAGTCCACATCAGCTATTAAATGGTAAAAACTTGATAACAATTTATGGTCGAAAATTAGCAAATATTGTAACTGTAGAACTATGATAGTGGAGACAATGCCGGGCTGACACCACTCAAAATTTATTTTATTGTGGCAGTTACATGTACAAGTAGATCCCAAGTAAACAGTAATTACTTTGTTGTACGTCATACGTTATCAAAATGTTGTAAATTAAGCTGTTATAGAAAAGGGGTCGAGCTCTAATTTCCAGCACTCCTATGTTCCCACCCTGTATACATTCCAACATAGGTTAAGGGTCAGGGTTGTCAGAACATGAGGTTTATAACGTTGGAATAATGGTTGTCAGAACTTAAATGATGGCACATGTAAGTGTGTTCTATAAAGACCAGAATGATTTGCTTTAGCCTGGTGGTTACCATTGGTGAGACCTATTTTGGTTCCTGAGTCTATATCTACATGTATTTGCGGAGAGGATATAGACTCGGGAGTTGAAATGGGTCTGGTATTAAACCAGGTTACATTTGCTTTACATCGATCTTTCTGTTTTATTAAAACAAATTTGAGAATCAGAAAATATAGTTATTTAACCACGTATGACTCTGAAATGGAGGCATCTGGAGTTGAAATGTGAGGTTAGATAAACATGTTTGGTTTGGAATCACAAGAATGGTGATCGTGACAGGTCAAGCACTTTATCTTTTGTGGTGCTTGCGGCCACTATAATAAAGCAACAAGTGCATGTTTGCTGTAACTAGAATAACAAACCTAACTAATACTTAGACTGTGAAGTCTGACATACTGCAAATTCATTTACTTTGAATTTGTTTTGGTAATATATATCACGGTGGTATTGCAGTCATATAGGATTTTTGTAGCCTGGTTACCAGACCTATATACATGTAGCTCCCGAGTCCTACAGCCTCTCTTCAAATAGAGAGCGAGGATGTACAATGTAAGACTCGGGAGCTATAACAGGTCTGGTAACCAGGCTAGGAATTTTGTACTAGTCAAAAAGGATGAACTGAATTGAAACTGTGATGACTAGTAACTACAAGGGAGAAATATTTGAGGTGGAGAGGACGCCACAAAAACAAACTTTAAAAAACTAAAAATTTCAGTTGAGAGTATATAATTGGTTTTGATGAATTTAATCAATTTTAGGTTCATTTTGGCTTGCTAACTCCTACATGTAGCACAGCAACTTTGTTACCATGAGCAAGATGACTATTATACATGTATCAGTTAATTATATGGAATGCCAGACCTAACACACGTTGCTGTCATGTGTTTCTTCTCAGGCACCTTGCCGACACTTGAGATTTAAACACAGCTGACACACTGTGTACTCTTCTGTCACTCTTACTTTCTCTCAGGAAGACTACTTAAACTTCAGGTTGGGAAAATTGTACGCTGTATCTGACTGGAACTCTCGTCAAATGGTTTAGTCTTTGTAGATTGCAGTTTTGCTTATTGATTCAACAGTGGCTACAGTTTGGATGATTCTTCAATCTGTATCACAGACGTTTCCACTTTTGATAACTGCCTTCTGGTCCTTCGTTTGAAGCCCTTCAACTTCAAAGTTGTTTGGAATTGGAATTCCAGACGTGTTTTTCTCTCTTCAAAACCTTTTCTGTAGTGCCTTTGGCTGAACTTTCGTCACCTCTTCAGAGTCAAGAAAAGTTATAAGATGCTTTATTATTCTAAGATCATTTCCCGGAGTTACAAGGAGTAAGGGACTTCAACGTTAGCAGTTCAGTTGGCATTCTTGAGAAGCAAACTTTCTTATGAAGGAATTCGAAGACAAGAAGACGCGTTTCTTTAGAGCAGCCTTGAGAGTGAAGCCAGACAAGTGAGAGACTCAGAGACTTCAACGTTGACAGTTGGCATTCTTGAGAGGCAAAGTTCCTTATCAAAGAAGCAGTTGGAATTGGTAGCAACGATTAAGCCTTCTGCCGAGTGCAACATGTTTACTGACTACCAGGGAGAGTGAGAGAGACTTCAACATTGACAGTTGGCATTCTTGAGAAACAAACTTTCTTATCAAAGAAGACAAGAGGACGCATAAATTCTTTGGAGCAACCAGAAATAGCCTGCAGCAGAGTGCAACATGTTTACTGACTACCAGCTAGCCGGTCGAGAACTGTTGGGACCGTGGAGCTACTACCGCTACGACCCTTTTCCCGTGCGGCCTCGTCCAGACAATGATGACGATGACAACAACTATAATCTCCTTCTAGGTTCACACTGCTTGAAAACTTAATACTCGATTATAATATTGCTTGGACCAATTCATGCATGGATTATATTGCCTTCCATGTACTAAATATGGTAATGTTTTAAAGTACATAAAGGTCTTGGAATGTTTTCAGCCCTGTTTTTTGATGTCTGGCCTCGAATAGTGGCAGAAAAAAAACAGGCTGCCCTGCAAAGGACAAGCCAGTAGCTACCAAGTCATGCTTGCTTGTCAATGAGAAAATCTCTCAAATGCATCATACTTTGTGGTAATATGGACAGTTGACTTGCATTTTTCAGTGAAGTTACTGTCCAAACTATCAAAGTTTTTAGCTGCATACTAATTTTATCTGCATACAAGTATAGAATGAAGCTTGGAATGCTAACAACTTGCATTACAGTCTGAAAGTTGCCTTGAAGCTGTTCGCAATTTGAGACTGACTGTAAAAAATTAAATGCAAGTCTGCTTGAGGTTGTGAAAGAATAGTTGATTAGACATGCACTAAGTCTTGTGCACTGGAAATATTGACAGTGAGGATTTTTTGAATTCAGTTGATCTATCCCTCTTTCCATCATTTCTTTCTTCTACCTCTTCATTCCATCATTCATTCCATTTGTCCACTCCTTCCGTATACAACTAAAATGTCTCAGACTGTCTTTCATTCATGATTTGATTCTTTTGATTGTTTTTGTAGAGGGAATTTCTGAAGCCCCACCGGATTACTATGACGTTGCAGTTGTCAACGGAAAAGACAAGAATGGAGCGGCAGCACCGGTGTCAGCTGATGCCATCATCACCATGGAAGAAAAGGATGGAAAGTGAGTAAACTATTGTACTACTTTTCTAGTACTTTCATTATTGTACTTTTGTAAAGAAAATAAACCTTAACTTGAGTCATTTTGCTTGAATTCAAAATTCCACATGCAGATTATGCCCTGGAACCCTCAAATGTATTGATTGTGTACTAATTATCTGTTTAAATGTTTTTTCAAATACTTCAAAAATGATAATCTATTTTTTTGCTCCCTTCAGGACAAAAGAAGGGGAAGAGGAGGAAAAGAAAAAAGAAGATGATGTAAAACCGATCGGCGTCTTTGAAGTTGTAAGTTGAAGTCTGCTTATGATAAGTGTTTCAAGTCCAATAAAATCGTACCGAATATGAAACTCCACTCAGTATTATATAATATTTGACAAATGTACAGTCCAAATTTTTAAGTTCATACAATCTTGTACAGACTAAGACACAGTCCATACATGTACTATGGCATATACAAGCTACAATATACTATATGTAATCATTATCATGCTTTTTGGGGTACAAAATTTTGTATGACTAGTGTAAAATATGTTTATAGATTTACTAGGACTTTAAATGATGTAAACTGGTCTGTATATCTTTGTTAAAATAGTAACCATATATATTTTGTCTGACCTGCACCTCTTCCCTCATGACCTCAGTGAAAAGCAGCCTGCAAGTTGATTTGAACTTCTCATCATGAGTAAAGAATGATTCAAAAAACAATAATATGAACACACTCTTGGCAGCCTGATGAAATTATTCACAGAATTTAAAGAATCATTTTGAATCAGCTTTACACCATCACCTTTTTCCAGTGGAAGTTTGCAGACAAGTTGGACATCTTGTTTATCATCCTGAGGACCATCTCAGCGATCGGTCTGGGGATTTCCCTGCCCCTCATGATAATTGTGTTTGGGGACAAATTTTAGGGGGACAATTTTCCACATTTTAAGAGGCAAATCATGGGTTTAAAAATTGGTTGTTGGTAGTCCTTTGGATGTTTTTATATTTTTACCCAAGATTTTTTTCATCAAGATTGACGCCTTTACGGTTAATTCTTTTCAAAATTTTTCCGTTACGTCACAAAGTTCCTGCAATTGACAGAAAAACGGGTGCTGACTAGAGCCCTGATATAATTATCAAATTTAAAAAAAAGGAATCATTTGAATCACTTTCCTTCCAGTGGAAGTTTGCCGACAAGTTGGACATCTTGTTTATTATCCTGGGGACGATATCAGCGATCGGGCTGGGCATTTCCCTGCCCCTCATGATCATTGTGTTCGGGGACACGCTGGACGGATTCGTGAAGGGGGCGCTCGCGGGAACGAATCTGACCGAGGGCGCGTTCGTGAACGTGTCGGAGATCAGTGGGATTGATGTGAACATGCTGTGAGTTTTGATGGGTTGGTGTTGGTGACTCACTGCACTTAATGTCAATGATGATGCTTTGGAGGGAATGTAGTATGTCGTCGGTGAAGATATAGACATCGAGGTATTATAATAAGATACACCAAAAAAAACAGTTACTCAAGCAACTGAATATGATTTTGTAAAACAGTCCGTTGTAATGTAGTATGTCAATTGGAAAACTCAGACAAAGAACAATGAGGCAACCACCACAAATTCATCACACTGTTAAGTGTGGTATTCTATATTCCACAATTATAAAAAGTAGCCCAATTTCCCAATGCTTACGCTGAATCCAGATTTGTCCATACATCTAATTTATCTAGGTATACAAGCAAAACATCCTGAAAACTTTTTTGATCTTAATAACTTCATAAAAAAAGATTACTTAGCCATCAACAACAACTGATTCCAAAATTATGCTATTTTAATAATTTGTATTTATGACATTTTCATTCCTAAACATCCATAAACCCTCCAAAGCATCGTCACGACACTCTCTGTTTCACTGCAGGTGGTTTGGTGACCTCTGACCTCACTGGTGTCTCACTGGCGTCTCGCACTAACCCTTCTCTTAACCTTTGACCTCTAACCTCTAACCTCGTCTTATTATGTTTGCTCTTTCTCTCTCCGTTTTCCTGCACAGTTCCGTTTTGCCGACGGGTGGGATATTTGTCTTATCATCCTCGGCTCTCTCTTGTCCATTGGTCTCGGGATCACGTTTCCACTCATGATAATCGTATTCGGGGACACAACGACATCATTCGTGTCCAGCGAACTCGCCAGTGAACTCGAGGAAGTCCTGAGATGTTTCGGAAGTCTGATATCGAACATAACAGCGGGCGCTATCCCGCCGAATATCGAGCAGTATCTCCCGCCAAATTGTACCCACTTGTTGCCGTTGTTGAACCAAACGTCCGAGAACCTTGCCACGGGTTCTGTGAGTGGAATTAACATTGCTGACCTGCAGTAAGTTCAAAATGTCCCTTTTTGTCGAGATCAAAAACAAAAGCATAATTTTTTTTCCCTCTAATGAGAGATAAATAATAAAACATTCACAAAGTTGAATGTAAATTCTGATGCACAAGTACAATGTTGAATGTTCATTATTCGCAATCCTAAAATTTCCCTTTAATGTCGTCAAGAATATTGTTCAAAGTGCATGATGGTACGATGTACTTCCTAAATTACATAGTACTCAATATGCTGATCATTTCAAGTCTTTAACATTCTATACTTAGTCTATCATCATCATCATCATCATGATCTTAAAAGCTACTCTCTTAAGGCTTTTTTGTGATTTGTAGTGTTAACGTTGGTGGCACCCTTGCCACATGTCCTAACAAGCTACATGTTATTTGATAATATTGCAAAAGTAATGTTACAGTAATATTGTAATTATTACTTTTCTCGGTGATTTGTATGTTGTTACTTTAATTTGCTTTCTGGACAAACAGTAAAAAATCATTGATTTTTGTAATGATCGTTATTTTTGATACTTGCATATTATCAACAACATTGACAAGTCATATGAATGCTAAGATAGCACCAACTACAACTCTGTTAGTAACATATAATAGAATGTGATGTAGTAATGGAGTATAATTAATGTTTTTAGTAAATTGTGATAATCTGTTCTTGTCACATGTAAATATGCTATGTACAATCATGTATGATGAACATATAATGATATGAGGCAACATGATTTTTCCTCCCCACCACAGACAAGGCATTGACATAGAGGGGCAGATGACAACGTATGCCTACTACTACGTGGCCATCGCCTGTGGCGCGTTCGTGTGTGCGTACGGACAGGTGGCCTTCTGGACCCTGTCAGCTACAAGACAGGTGAACCGCATCCGGACCAAGTTCTTCCGTGCGATCATGCGACAGGACGTCGGCTGGCACGACACTCATGCCACTGGGGAGTTCAGCACCAGGCTGGCTGAGTAGGTGTTAACTTTGTCAAAATAACATCAATCGCAGGCTGAAACAGCCTGAAATCTCTCATTTCTTGTTTTAAGTAGACCTTTCTGTAAAGCTGAATGAAATGATGTTCTTATTATGTTTACTATTGCAGAAGGAAAATATATTTGTAGTTGGATCTTTTTCTTCTTCTGCTACAAACACATAAGGTCAATAACCTGGACCAGACAGCTGTCACCATGGTAACTGGTGCTGTAGCAGACACCCTGTGGTGTTGGATTACATTATGTAGCAATTTGCAGGACAGAATTGGACTCCTGTCATCATGAATTAAATGTATTTCTGATCAGTAAGAAGAATAAATAGAGCAGTGCATAGTTTGTTAGGCTAGACCAATGTTGTAAACCATGGAAATATTAATCTTAAAGTTTTTCGTTGACTGTTCCATCATATATTTATTATTTCAGTGATGTGAACAAGATCAACGAGGGTATCTCAGACAAGTGCGGGATCTTCCTGCAGTGGTTCACCGCCTTCATCGCTGGGTTTGTCATCGGGTTTATCTACGGCTGGAAGATGGCTCTGGTCATCATGGCAGTCAGCCCACTGCTGGGGATAGTGGCCTTCCTTATGACTAAGGTACGGACAATTCTTGTAACAGATTGAAGTAGTAAAGATTACATTCTTGTAAGAATTAGGAGAGTAGAAACAGAAAGACACTACTGGTCTCGGGCTGGGGATCAAACCCACGCCAAACCTGGGCAGCAGTCCACATGCAGACGCTCAACCGAATCGGCTAAAAGGTCTAGACCCCTCACAGGATAGTAGCTTTCCTCATGACCAAGGTACAGACAATTCTTTTAACAGATTGAAGTAGTAAAGGTTTATTTTCTTTTGAGGAATATTTTGGGGTTTATCTATGGTTGGAAGATGGCTCTGGTCATCATGGCTGTTAGTCCACTGCTGGGGATTGTGGCCTTCCTTATGACCAAGGTATGGGCAATTCTTGTAGTGTAGGGCAGCAAGTTTCTTGCTGTATCTCTGTAGAAACTCTATTGCTGTTTCTGTGGCACATACATGTAGGGCAGCAATTTTTTTGTGCCTTTTGAGCCGAAGGAGTACTGCCCTTTTTCACAAAAGTAGCATGCATTGAGTCCTAAGTGTAAAGTGAGACCCACCTTGTGACCTATATATATATATAGAATAAAGATTGGGAATCCAAATCCGGTCAATTTTAGCTTACAGTAAAGCTATTACCTAACATTCATACATGAACAGAGTCTCAGTTAGAATTGGACTTTAAGTCAAGGTCAGTTGGCTGATGTACTTGTCGAGAAGAGTTACAAACAATTAAGGGAAATTATTATTACTTTGACGTCCAAAACAACATCTGATTGAAATAGATTTAATTCTAATTTAATTCTACCAGATACTGGTATTTTTGTTCAATCCACCAACTAACCTATTCTATTCCCACCACTTCAGATGGCCTCTGCCTTTACCGAGGATGAACAGGCAGCCTACGCCAAGGCCGGAGGTGTGGCCGAGGAGGTTCTGTCCTCCATGAGAACAGTCGCTGCTTTTGGAGGGGAGAAGAAGGAAGAGAAAAGGTACTACAAAATCTAATAATAATTCAAGCAGATAACTAATTGTCTAAAGTCATAGGGTCCTTCTCAGTGACTGATGAAAAATACTGGATGCTCTCTGAAGCATCTGACTCTTTAGAGAATAAGATTAGACAGTAATGTTAATATCATTGATATAGTTTTTATGTTTACCGGAGGAAAATATAATATTATTTTTGCACAGTTTCCTCTTCTCCAAACACAAAAGGTCAATGACCTGGACCAGACAGTCTATCACCATGGTAACTGGTGTTGGGTTACATCATGTTGCAATTTTATAGCAGGAGGGATTTACATGTAGACTCCTGTCATCATACATATGAATGTGTTTGAGTAAGAACTAACAGAGCAGACCAATTATGCAAAGGTAAACATTTATAAATTTATTAATAAATGTAATATGCTTTGCAAATGTTACCTTCAAGTTTCTAGTTTTAAAATTTTGTGTTTGCTTGTAGGTACAACGCCCATCTGGTTGATGCCATGCGCAGGGGTGTGAAGAAGGCGATTTCAGCGGGCGCGGGAATGGGCGTGACGTTCCTGGTCATGTTCAGATTTTCAATTTATTTTGAATGAAGAAAGTGATTAATTTTATATCAAATTTGTCTTTATTTGTAGGTACAACGCCCATCTGGTTGATGCCATGCGCATGGGTGTGAAGAAAGCGATCTCAGCGGGCGCGGGAATGGTCATGTTCTGATTTGTAATTTATTTTGAATGATAGAAAGTGATGAAATTTATTTCAAATTTGTCTTAATTTGTAGGTACAACGCCCATCTGGTTGATGCCATGCGCATGGGTGTGAAGAAAGCCATCTCTGCCGGCGCGGGAATGGGCGTGACGTTCCTGGTGATGTTCGGCGTGTACGCGCTGGCCTTCTGGTACGGGTCCGACCGCGTCCGTGCAGGGGAGTACACTCCGGGAGGATTCCTCATCGTAAGTTCTATCATCTGCCTACTGAGACCATTTTTGGGGCACAATTCGTAGATTGGTTACAAATTTTCGTCAGAATTTGATTTTGTTCCTGAATTTTCATCTGAGGAAGTCCAATATTATTCTGTCATATCTGTCATTTTCTTCTATTTCTAAATGTCTTTGGTCATGACTATAATTTGTTGATGACAACTGCACTCACTCACTACTGAGGGGTTAGCGTCTGTTGTTCCCTGACTTCTGACTCAGAGGTTTAGAGTGCTTGCAAAGCAATACTGCCGCAAATTCATAACAATGTCATCCTTCATTTTGTATAAAAATTGACAGATTCATAGTAAACCTGATATCTTGTTTGGATGTGGAAGTGTTTAATGTTTAATTTCATGCATAGAAAAGTAGTTTGTTTAAGATGACTTTTCTTGTGTTGATCACCTTTTTTTCTGCTGTTTCTGCAGACGTTCTTCTGTGTTGTGATTGGTGCCATGTCCCTGGGACAGGCTGCTCCCAACATCGAATCTTTCGCTAAAGCTAAGGGAGCCGCAGCGTTTGTGTATGGAGTCATAGACAATGTAAGTTCCAACTTTTTATTTATACCTCAGTCAGTTGAAAACAGTATCCTTCCGTGAGAAAACTTATTTCTAATATAAACTACTCTCCTACCATATACCAAGTAGGTCCTATTGAGTGCAATATAGCTGTCAGTAAGTAAATAAAAGCTGTAATAATATTGAACCTTTTCGCAGCTGCTAAAAGGTGGGTAGTTGGTAGGGGGTGCTATGCTACATGGGCCTTATCTTGCATGGTTGAGAAATCTTGCATCCTAAATGGTCCACTGTGTAGAAATCTTGGATCCTAAATGACTGTACATTTAACCTGGGTTCCTTATCGTTTGCTGAAGTTTGATTTATCCTCATGTTTTGCTTAAAAACCCTTAAAATCCAACCATATGATAGTTACCTTTGGTTAATATGTTTTTTTATTCAATTTGAATAAAACTAAACCTTTGGTGTTTTTGTTTGCGTCTTCAGGAGCCGGTGATTGACAGCATGTCGGAGGAAGGTCATCGGCCGGACAGTCTGAAGGGCAACATCGAGTTTAAAGATGTCCACTTCACCTACCCTGCTCGCGCTGATGTGCCTGTACGTATTATTGCAGTTTAACTGTTACATTTGAGTGGCACTTAGGGCATGGTTATACATGTAGTATAATATCATGAGATTAAAGTGGGTATGTTATGTTACAGCACTGGATCTGCAAAATAACAATTCCTTTTGCATCTTTTTCAAAGCACAATTTTTACCTCAGAGTCTTTAAGGTTTAAAGCAATTGTTTACAAATGGTAGCACAATTTGCCATTGTGACCAACATTTTTAGAGCATTTCTAAGTCTGCAATTTTTGAAGTGATGTCTCCACTGTAGACTGGTGCTGGTTTTTCGATTAAGGAATGTGTTACGATTAATTAACACAAAATCTTGATTGTCACTGTCCAGCAAAATTTAGGGGGTACAAGCATACATGTTATTTGTACATGTGCATGCCTGCGTCAAGTTTACAAATTTCTGTGGTTCTACAATTGTTGTTGCCAGGTACTGCAGGGCCTGAGTCTGAAGGCAGATGTAGGACAGACAGTCGCGCTGGTCGGCTCCAGCGGCTGTGGGAAAAGCACCACTGTCCAGCTGATACAGCGCTTCTACGACCCACAGGAGGGGGTGGTGAGTTTTATATTATTATTTCTCAAAACAATATACAATGTATATAGTACTAACCATCAACAATACATGTAGCTGCAATGGCTGAAGTAGAGTGCCCACCTTGTACATGTACAATGTATGTGAATGGTCGTGGGTTTGATCCCCGGCCAAGCCATACCAAAGACTGTCCTATACACTGTATATGTAGTGGAAACAAATACAGTTACTCTCAGTCAGGTACTTACAACCTTAAGTTTATACTAACAGGGCTTCATTAACATTAAATGGAATCATACTTCATTTGGAAGAACCAGAAGAAAATAGAATCATGATGATTATCGTTACACGGTATTAAGGTTTTTCTGTATCATCAAATTGAATATATATCATTGTAACAGTAATGTACTACATGTTGTTGTTGTTGTTGGAAATGTGCTTTTAGTGATGTATTCAGGGAAACCAAAGTGTGTGACATGCTGTGCAGATTAACAGGTTTTGTAACATTTTTTTTTAAAGATTGAGTTGGATGGACAGGACATCCGCTCCCTGAACATCCAGTGGCTGAGGCAGCACATCGGTGTGGTGAGTCAGGAGCCCATTCTGTTTGCCACCACCATCGCTGAGAACATCAGGTATGTTAAAAACCTTGTCCTGCGGGACCCATATATATATATATAGGTTGCACATGCAGTACCATCTATATAGCACCTTTTATATGACATTATGTACAATTTGGGAGTATTTCTTGCACAACGCATCACACCGCAGCGATGCAATAAATGCGGGAAGTAACTTTGCCACCGCAGGGCAAAAAAGTCAAGGTCTTGATTAAGACATGAATTTATTTAAAAATACAGTGCCAGCAGGACAAGGGTTAAACTTGGTTCTTCTTGTCTCACCAATGGTCCTTACAGTCTTTAACACGAGAAATCCATAAGTCAAAAAGCGGTCATATGACCGAACATCAGTTTGTTCTCTCAGGCTCACAACTTCTATACAGTACAATTATTTTAACTTGACACTGTAAAATTTGTTTACTTTTGTGTGGCAATTAAACACCACAATAGAAGGGAATATGAGGTTGTCACGTGTTTTAAATTGATGGTTTTAAACAAGTCTTTATTACAGTATGATGTAACTGTTAGTAAGACAATTGATGCAGGTGTATGGTGTCACAATTTTGTTAAACTTGAAACTAAGATAACACCAATCCAAAAAAAAATGATATTCTGAGTAAGTTACAACCAATATTTATCAGTTTTAGCCTAATCTTTAACTAGTTTGTGTTTATAAACCTGCATTTCCCCTCTGGTCTCTCAGTCACTGACGAAAGCTAGTGGATACTAGCTGAAACGTCTGACGTTTTCAAAATCATATCCAGTTGCTTGAGTAACTGCTTTTTGGTGAATCTTTAACTCCATATAAATCGAATTCATTAAGTTTCCTGAATGTTGTAGGTATGGTCGTGAGGATGTGACCCAGGCTGAACTTGAGAAGGCTGCTCAGGAGGCCAACGCACATGACTTCATCTCTAAACTGCCACAGGTATGTAATACTATTAAATATAAATACGTTCTTTATACTTATAATGGATCTCAAATTTAAAAGTTTCTTTTGTATCACCTATATGTGTTGATACAGTATAATGGTAGCCTACACAAGATATGGTATGTCTATGTCCCTAGTGCTGAAATGCCATCCATAGGTATGTATATAAACACACTTTGTGCTAGTAAGGGATCTTAAAAGTTTCTTTTGCGTCACCTATGTTCTGCCTTTCTATAATGGCAGACAGTTTTCAGGCTGCAGAAGATATGGTATGTCTATGTCTCTAGTACTGAAATGCCATCCAGGTACATTTTCTACAAGTTAGGAAACTTCAAAGTATGTTTTGTGTCACCTATGTACTGCCTTTTTCAAGATATGGTATGTCTATGTACCTAGTGCTGAAATGCCATCCATAGGTATGTATAGAAACACACTTTGTGCTAGTTAGGGATCTTAAAAGTTTCTTTTGTGTCACCTATATTCTGCCTTGCTATAATGGCAGCCATTTTTCAAGCTGCACAAGATATGGTATGTCTATGTCCCTAGTGCTGAAATGCCATCCATTGGGCTTTTGTAGTATATTTAACAGCTGTCTTTCCTAAAATCATTGAAAGATTGATAATGACTTGGACACGGCTATAAAAACTTCATTTTTAGCTTCTCTTTCTACTAGAAAAATAAAACATTTTGCACTTAGTGCAACTGTTACAACTCATATCTTTATGATACTTAGTATTATACATTCAATCATATGTGTCATGCTTTATGCCTTATACTATATTTTTCAGAGAATAACTTGACTGTACACTAACTTGCTTGAGCCATAGAATGCATTGAATACCGATATATCTGATTCAGAATATATCTATGCTGAACACAGAAATACGAGACCCTGGTAGGAGAGCGAGGTGCCCAGTTATCAGGAGGACAGAAACAGAGAATCGCGATCGCCCGGGCTCTCGTGCGGGATCCACGAATCCTGCTACTGGATGAAGCCACGTCTGCACTGGACACTGAGAGTGAGGCTACAGTTCAGGCTGCTCTGGATAAGGTACACAATGTTACAGATACTGGTAGACTTAGTCTATTATTATATTGTTTCGGATGGCTGAGCTATATAACATCATCTGTCTTCTCTGTCACAGCCAGTGGAAGATATTAAGCTTTTCAGTAACTGGTTCAAGATTGCATTCACTTTTTTATTGCATAGTCAGCTGTTAAAAAACTGCCCCTGAGTAATAGTCCCTGAGACTCACTCACTCACTAACGAAGAGACGGTTTAATGTCAGTTGTCCCCTATCCCCCAAGGGTTAGACGTGCTTGTACATTAATGCTGAAGCTCAATCCTGTGGGTTGAGATGGTGGAAGTCCTCCCTGACATTATCCATCCATCCAATAGTAGTAAATCAACAAACAGAGAAATCTTTAATGACATTCTGCATATATTTCTGTTGTTAATAATGTTGTTAATACATCATTATGAAAATTTTGCATATCTTTTCCCTCCAGGCACGTATGGGAAGGACCACCCTCGTGGTTGCTCACCGACTCTCCACCATCAAGACTGCAGACATCATCGTTGGGTTCGAGAACGGGGTAGCCGTAGAACAGGGGACTCACGATCAACTGATGGCACAGAAGGGGGTCTACTACACACTGGTCACCACACAGGTAGTCTGAACATGAAGCACGGGATCGAGGGGTTATGGATTTGATTCCCGTCAGTACTATAGCTACAAAATGTACACTCAGTAGTTAGTATGTGTTAACTTTATAGATATTGTGACTTCGGGAAAAAGCATTTTAGACAACTTTCCTTAATCTATGAAATGAATATGAAATAATATGATATTATAGTTTAGCATATAATATAATACCTAACTTGCATTGGGAAGGAGAATGATGGGCTTTACCAGTTCCAATATTGTTCCCAACACTGTTCTTCATAAATATATATTAAGGTCTTTGTCTTTTATTTTATTTCATTTTACTGATGACAAAATTGATCAATGTTGCAATTGGCACCATTTCATTTACCTATCAGTCTATGACAAACAGGTTATGATAAATAGCAAAATTGTCATCATCATATTTTTTTTTCAGACTTTTGCTACTGAAGATGAAGAGGATAAGGATTCTGAAGAAGATGGAGAAGTCTATGCAGGTGTGTCTTTAAAATTTTAATAACAATCTATGAAATTTCTGCCAATTTTCTGCTTTTCTTGGCTTTGAAGCTGCCGACGCTTCTTTATTTAGCATAATGCTTATCTAACATTTCTTTCTAAAAGGAAGAAAAATGTAAAAAAATAAAATGAATTGTTGTTCCTGTTATTAAAAGAAAAGTGTTTGAAAAAAGGTTCAAATTTTTTTCCAAAATCGTACAGCACTATTCTATTCATTCTACTTACAATTATCACCAAAAATATGTGAAAACAATGTCATGACTTGTTTCTTCCATTCTTTAATGTTTCTTTGTATTACATGTACCTTGCCCAATGTTTAATACCATATGATTATATAATTCCTTCCAACCCTAATTATAACATTGCTGTTGCAATGTCTATAATTGCAACGCTGCCTATATTAACTGTCAACGACTGAACAACGATAAATAGAAGGTATCATCTTTAAAAACTACTTATTTATGGTGGCAAGGTAGACCTTAGCAAAACATACTTTACTAGCTGCAATTGGCAAACCCTTCCCTTATTTTAGGTCCATATTGTACATGCATGGCAACCAATGTTTAAGTTAAAATTAGGTTTGTCATGGAAATGGAAAAAGCAAAGAATTAGTGTGGCAAGGTTAGAGCTGTGTACCTAAACAAATTTTAGGTACAGGTACAGGTACAGGTACACAGGTTTAGGTACAGGTCCGGACCTGAACCTGTACCTGAACAATTCGAGCAATGTATATGCTCTTCTGAACTCCTGTAATAACAAGAAAAACATTGATATAGGTTTAATTTTTGTTTATGGAGAATGTTCAGATAAAATATAGGTAAAAGTAAAGATGTTTTTGTTTTCGTGAACACACTGTCCTTACACAGTGACCCATTGTTAACCAGCTATTTACACATTTGAGGTCACAAATAGGCATAAAATTGGTGTGAAATTGTTTAGGTACAGTACCGGTACTGAGGGATTAGGTATTTTGGACCTGTACCTAATCAATTTTTCCGGTACAGTATCGGTACTGCGTACCGGTACACAGCTCTAGGCAAGGTAGACCTTAGCAAAACATACTTTATTAGTTGCAATGCATTGGCAAACCCTTCCCTTATTTTAGGTCCTTATTGTGCATGGCAAGCAATGTTTAAAGTAAAATTTGTCATGCAAATGGTAAAAGCAAAGTGCTAGTGTTTAGTACATGTACAAAATTTTATTGCTGCTAGCTTGCTTGCTGCATGTTTATTTGCGTGTATTTTCAACATTATCATTATCATTTTCTTTCCTTCAATTTCTTTGCATTTCATTTCATTTCATGTAACCATTGTTTGTTTCCTTTGTGTGAGCTCATTTTGTTTCATGCAGATTAATTTCTTTATGCCATTTTTTCCGTTCCATGGTACAACAGAAGACATGATGTCAGGTAAACAAATTCAAAGCTCCTGACATCTTAATTTTGTCAACTTGCGGTGAAGTAGTCAGAAGAATAAAAAAGCATTTATAGTTAATTGCATGATGGGTGTTTAATGTATAATTATGGTGTCTAAGCTTCAAATAATGAACCATTTTATTGACCTTCAGTCATTTTGAATTTAAAGGTCAAAATTACTGTTGGTATGTCAATAGCTATTAGTCAGTCAGAAATCAATGCCTGTTTTGGATCTCTGTCTTTGCAGAGTAGTATGGTGTGTCAATGAATCTGGTTCATTATATAACTTTTAAGTGCATGTTAAAGTAGAAGATAGACAAAGCTTAGGAAGGCATGCCAATTTCTTTGCAAATTTAAAACTAGTAACTTGTATAAAAGCCACAGCTGCCCAATTAAGTATCTTTCAAACAATTGGAAAAAAATGCAATTTCAAGCTGTAATTGATACGAAAAGAAATCGTTTAGAATTATTCTAAAAATGGTGATTTTTTAGTATATAATAACATTCAAATTTTTGGCATAACCGCATGCTGTTTTGCACTCAATGTCTGGAAGCCTTTCCAAGTAAAATTACATTAAAATTTAAATTCAGTAGCATCACAATAGGCAAACTTAATGAATGTCATAAATAACACAACACAGAAGAAAGTTTTAAAATCTTGTCACTTTTCTGAATTCATTCGTTTTATCCTTCAACAGAGGACCTTATGAAGAAGTCCAGCATGCATCTGACCCGACAGACATCAGCCAAGAAGCTGGAGCGAACCATGTCAACTGTGTCTCGCAAGAGTGAGAAAGAGGCAGAAGAGGAGGTGTGTCTTTATCTTCAGTATCTAACTGTAAATTCATTTAAGTTTGTTTACTTAATGGCAAGAGGGGAAAGGATTTCCCAAGAACTATATTTTAAGCATACATTTGCCGCGTCACAAATTTGCATTGGAGATGTCACCCTTCACCAATGAAACACAAAAATAAAAGAAAGTCTCGTCCTAGTCTCACGTTCTCTCGCGAGACTAGGATCATTCCGTGACCAAGACGAACTGACTAGTCGTCGAAAATTCGGAGGTATGTACCTTAAGATTTAATAGTCACTGATTGAAAGAATTATCTTACTGAACTTATACTATACGTGACTGATGAATCTCTTCAACGATAAAAGAAAGAACTAATTTGAAACCTATGAACAGATAAAATGGAACACAGAAAATAGTATTTGCAATATGGTAAGTTTGTAGTGAGAGGTTACCACGCATAAAACCATGACGGCAAGTCTTTGACAATTTGATGAGTGTGCCATTGTATCCTCAACCTTCAAATCAAATCAAATCTTTATTAAATATCAACATGGCAGACGTGCCGAAGTGCTTCTGGCACGTCTGAATTGCATTGACATTTTACAATTATACAACATACAAACATCATCACAATACGTAGATTAAAAACATCATCATCATTTAAAAATCATCATCATAAGAACACATAGGTTAAAATAGTAACAATTTCAGTTAATAATACCTTTCTGTGTATAACTAAATTTCAGGAGGAGGTTGAGGACCCAGACATGAAGCGCGTGATGAAGCTGAATGCGGCTGAGTGGCCGTACATCCTTGTCGGGACCTTCTGTGCTGCCATCAACGGAGCCGTCAACCCCTGCTTCGCTATCCTGTTTGCTGAAGTCCTGGGGGTAAGTTAACAATAAACTTGTGCTTCCTTTTCTTTCCATGACACAACCTATTAAGGTGCATGCCTGGTGGTCTTGTGGTTACTAATAGGGTTGTTCACTTACATAATCTGGGTTTGGATCCCATTTAGTCTGTCATCCATCCCCATTTGAACATCTGACATTTCCATAATGGATTGTTTCATCATAAAATTGAAAACCTGTCCATCTGATACATGTTGATATACATTGTATATGTGATTCAGTAGATTTGTGTAACTAAAGTATGTGGTTCAATGCATGTGGTCAATTCAAGGACATCTTTGTAATGTACATGTAAGTTATAATTGGGTGTAGCAGGCCACCTTGCCGCGTGCCTGTGAAGCTGGTGTGTTATGCCCAAGCGTGGTTATACCGGCTATACAGATACAGAAGCTGGTGTGTTATGCCCAAGGGTGGTTATACCGGCTATACAGATACAGAAGCTGGTGTGTTACGCCGAAGGGCGGTTATACCAGCTATCCAGATACAGATAATTATGTAGTGATCATGGTGAATGTCTGTTGTGTTTCAGGCGTTTGGAATAGCCGACCCAGTAGAGCAGGAGAAGAAGACGACTCTGTACGCTCTGCTGTTCCTGGCCATCGGGGGAGGGTCCATGATCACTATGTTCCTCCAGGTAGATATTTGTTTCTTATTCTTTGGTTTTGTTAACTGTCTTCCTAGATGTATACTATACAGATATGTTGCACCCCTGTCCTTGGTACTGAAGTACATTCACACCTCTGAAAAATATTAAAACTGATACAACCCTGTCCTTGGTGCTGAATAACATTCACACTCTGATGTTACACCGCTAAATAACATAAAATCTGACACAACCCTGTCCTTGGTGCTGAATACATTCACTGATGTTTCAGCTCTGTTCTTTGTACTAAAGACTTTTGTCCTTGGTGCTGAATGACATTCACACTGAACTGGTGTTACACAATGACATGCATTCTTATATTACACCTTTTAAAAACATTCAAACTGATATCACACCCCTCTCCCTGGTGCTGAATGGCATTCACACTGAGCTGACTTACACAATGACATTCACATTGGATGTAAAAACTCGTAATAACATTCAAACTGATATCACACAATGTCCTTGGTGCTGAATGACATGCACACTGAACTGTTACACAATCAAACTGAAACACCACGAGTCTATTAAATCATTATTCACACTGAAGTATGTTGAATTGTACTTTCTACAGGGCTACTGTTACGGCAAGTCTGGAGAAATGCTGACTATGAGACTGAGGCAGATGGGCTTCAGTGCTCTACTTAGACAGGTCAGTCTTTGGGGCTAAGTTAAATCTGTATCTTTTTTTGAAATTATTACTTTGCCTTGTTATTGTGCATTTTCTTTTTCTTTGGCCATCAGTTCTGGCCCAGTTAGTATTGTTGTTTGTTGTTATCTATGTTTGTGATTTGTATACTATTAGTTGTTCTTTTTTTAATATATAATTACAGGAAATTGGGTACTTTGATGACCACAAGAACAACACGGGAGCGTTGACTACAAGATTGGCTGTACAGGCTTCACAGGTCCAGGGGGTAAGAAAGCTGCTTCTGAAATTGTAGTATCATCAGATGTCATTAATGTTGTAGTTATGATTTAGTTGTTTCTGTTTGGCTGCTTAAATAATAGCAGGCAATTCTGATTGATATAATATGCTACAGAGAGAGAGAGAGAGGAGATAGTGCAAATATTTTTCTATAGTTTTCTGTACTTAAAAGGCTACTGTGCCTATAATCAATCAAAGAAATCTATGGGGAATTGATTGTATTGTCTCCATATTTTCTTGTTCAGGCCACTGGTGCTCGACTGGGCACGATTGTCCAGAACATCTTTAACCTGGGAGTTGCTGTGATCCTGGCATTTATCTACGGCTGGCAGCTGACCCTGCTCTGTCTGGCCTTCGTGCCATTCCTGTAGATGATCACAAATTTGACTCCACTTTCTTTCAGGCTACAGACGCTCGACTTGCAACGATCATGAAGAGCATTAACCTGGGAATAGCAGCTATAATACACATTCAGCTTTCTTTCTTGTGAAGCATTTGTTACAAATTTGATTCTATTTTTTCTTTTCAGGCTACTGGCGCTTGACTTTGCACTATCTTTCTTCTGAATCAGCAGTCACAAATTTGATTGTATTTCCTTTCAGGCCACGGGCGCTCGGCTTGGCACAATTGTCCAGAACATCTTTAACCTGGGTGTAGCGGTTATCCTGGCCTTTATCTACGGCTGGCAGCTGACCCTGCTCTGTCTGGCCTTCGTGCCCTTTATGATATTCGCAGGCTTCCTGCAGATGAGGATGTTGGCAGGATATTCCAGCGAGGAGAAGAAGGCTGTGGAGGATGCTGGGAAGGTAGGTCAAAGGTCAAGATGAGGTCAAATTTTAAGAAGAGGTTAAGGGTCAAAGGCTTCCTGCAGATGAGGATGTTGGCGGGATATTCGAGCGAGGAGAAGAAGTCTGTGGAGGATGCTGCAAAGGTAGGTCAAGGGTCAAGATGAAGCCAGACAGCAGAAGTCTCGTACAAGAAAATAACAAAGTTTATTTGATTTTGAATTGGTATTAGATATTAGATTTAGTTTTTTTCTGGAATTAAAAATTCAAAGTAGTATACGATATGTGTGCCTCTGTCCCTGGTGCTGAATAGCATTTGCGCTGATGTTAAACCTTTAATTACATTTATACCAATGTTACATCCCTGTCCTTGGTGCTGAATGACATTCACAGTTTCACACTGAACTGAACCAAAACAAAACTGATGTTACGCAATAACAGCGCACAAGAAGAATTATAGCTACTGTCATGAACATGTATGCTAAATGTGGATCCCAATAAAGTCAAAGTCTCTGTCACTTGTCAATTGATTTCATGGCCTAGTTGTTAAGAAGAAACATTTCTTTAATTTATTCCTTCCCAGACTGCTGTAGAAGCTGTAGAAAACATCCGCACGGTGGCCTCCCTCAGTCTGGAGCAGAAGTTCTGCACCCTGTACGCAGACAAGCTGAAGGGGCCGTACCAGCAGTCACAGAAGAAGGCCCACATCACGGGACTTGGCTTCGCCTTCTCACAGTGCATCATCTACTTCGCCTACGCCGCCATTTTCCGTTTTGGGGCCTGGCTGGTCGCGAACGGACACATGAACTTCAGAGATGTGTTCCTGTGAGTAGTACATACTAGATTATTTTGTTACATTTTATCTCTCATTATCTCATCTATCTCTTAGTGTAATTATTTGTCCTTTGGAGCACTACAATGATCTGATAACCAGTTTTCTTCACCCTTCGTGGTTTTCTGTTTCTCGTAGCTTTTCGCTTACATGAAGATGTCCCATCTTTTCTATTGCCTACCCCTCTTCCATCCTCCATGTACTGTTCCTAATGCAAATGTTTTAATTGCATGCATGATATTATGTAATGCAGGTATATTCAATGAAAGTCATGATGATTATGGGCAAGTTCGAAGCTGGTGTGTTACGCCGAAAGGCGGTTATACCGGCTATACAGATACAGAAGTTGGTTGATTAATTCATTGGAATATTTAATCTATTAATTGTTTAGTTGATTGATTTTATAACTTCAGATCAACAGACCAATCACAAACTGATTGAGTGAAAAGGTGTCAAAGATGATGAAGAGGGGTTGATTTGCTGATTGACTAACTGAATCATTGATTGATTGGTTGATCGATTGATTGATTGATTGATTGCATACCAGACTAGTTTAATGATTACCTGCTGTGCCAAACAGTGTGCTTGGAGCTATCATCTTCGGAGCCATGGCTATCGGCGAAGCCAACTCCTTTGTCCCGAACTATGCTAAAGCAAAGACTTCAGCAACACTCATGTTTCGCCTTATCGACCGAAAACCAACCATAGACAGCTCAAGCCAAGATGGAGAAATGCCTGTAAGTGTCATAGTTGTAAATTCAATTTGATATTTAATATTTCTCCTCTTTTTCTTTTGAACAGTGTACTAGGTGCCATCATCTTTGGAGCTATGGCTATCGGACAGGCTAGCTCTTTTGCCCCAGACTATGCCAAGGCAAAATCCTCGGCCACCCGAATGTTCCAACTGTTCGACAGAGAGCCGGCGATTGATAGCTCTAGCGAGGAAGGGGACAAACCCGTGAGCTTTTCACATATAGCTGTTTCTTCAAAATTTATATTTCATAACATGTCAAGTGGTATAGGAGTGAAATACATGTATGTTGTTTGCGTATTTCACTCCATACCACCTGGTATATTGGTGAGATATATAATTTTGTTTATACAATTGGTTAACTGATTCATCTTAAAAATTTTTTTTGCAAAATAACCTAAAATTTAGCTTGAATTGAACTAGAATAGTGTCTAGAATAAAAAAAAGCTCCCCGCTGCAAATCATTTTTTTAATCTGTTTTTTCTAGAATATAGAATAGTTCATAGTAGAAATTACTAACCTTCTCCCTGCTGCCTAACCCCATAACCAATAGAGCTTGGTTAGCGACTGCTTCAGTGTGCTAAACATTAAGGAAGATGCCATTGGTTGTTTCTCAACAGCATTCATTTTATCCCTGCTGCTTAATCCCGTAACCAACAGAGCTTGGTTAAAAGTGGCTGCTGCAGTGTGCTAAGGCCATTGAGGAAAGAAAATGTTGTGTTCCCTGTATTCCAACCAACCCTAGAAAAAACTGCCTACCCTAGCCTTTTTTTTGTGGGGACATAAATTTTTTGATCTGATCAACCTTTCCTAGCTCCATGATCTGACATCTGAGTGATGACATGTTGTACAATCAGTTTTCCCACATTTTGTCCTGACATTGAATAATTTTAAGTGTCCTCATGCAAGTTTTACTTTGTTAAAGTGTATAAATTACACCACTAGAAGCAGGTGAGCAGGTGAGCAGAAATTGCCAAAGTCTAAAAAAAAAAGAAAAGATAAAAAAAAGAAAAGAAAATCCCTTCCTACCGACCCTAATTTTTTCAGGACTTAAACTGGAAACAGGAGACACAACATTTTTTTCCTAGGCCTTACTGACTGCTTCAGTGTGCTAGAGCCTTTTAGTTAGTAATAAGCAAGATGTCATTGGTTGTTAATCTCCACAGCAAAGCTGTGAGGGAGAGGTCCAGTTCCGAGACGTGCAGTTTGCATACCCGACCCGAGACAAAGTCACGGTGCTGAAGCAGTTCAGCACGTCGGTACGGCCGGGAGAGACCCTGGCCCTGGTGGGCAGCAGCGGCTGTGGGAAAAGCACCTCTGTACAGCTGCTCGAGAGGTTCTATGACGCTCTCGCTGGCAATGTGGTGAGTTGTCCAAAAGTTATCACTCGTTTGACCACAGTGAATGTGAGTTTTTTCCAGTGTGTTTGTGTGTGTGTTCACTCCTGTGCTTCCGTATACTAGTACAACTACTGGAGACTGAGGTTCTATGATGCTCTCGCTGGCAATGTGGTAAGTTTTCAAGTTACAGTGAATCTGTTCACCACTGTCAGCAAAGTTTTTTGAGTGTGTCTGAGTGTGTGTTTCTTGAATGTTTGCTTGTGTGTGTCCGGGAGAGACCCTGGCCCTGGTGGGCAGCAGCGGCTGTGGCAAAAGCACCTCTGTACAACTACTGGAGAGGTTCTATGACGCTCTCGCTGGCAATGTGGTGAGTTAAAAGATTATTTGTTAAATGTTTTACCGCTGTGAACAAGGATTTTGTTTCCAGTGTGTCTGTTTGTGTGTCTGCATGTGTGCTTCTCAACCAGTACAACTATTGGAGAGGTTCTATGTTACCATTTATATGCTGACCAGCCCGTCCAGCTACATAAAGTGACCCAACCCAATTCTCTTCAAGTTGTCCAAATTTACCATTCTTTAACATTTTACCACAGCAATTTGTCAAATGGCAGCAGAAAGAAGATTGGGACATCATGTTTTTGATTCCTTGCATTCCTGGCTAGACCTCATCCCCTTGGGAAAGGCAGTGCTTTACACGACTTTCCTTACTCCATACACCCAGGTGTAAAAGGGTAACCTGACTTCGATTGAGATAAAGATCAGTAACAGTAACTAACCGTTTCTTGTGATTTCTGATCTTCAGATGATTGACGGCAAGGACATCCGCACGCTGAACATCCAGTGGCTACGGAAGCAGATGGGCATTGTGTCGCAGGAGCCCATACTCTTCAAGTTTCCAAATTACCATTTTTTAACGTTTTACCAGTGTGTTGTCAAATGGCCAAGTCGATAGGCGAGCAGACAGAAGATTGCGAGGTCGTGGGTTTGATTCCTGGCTGGACATCATCTCCTTGGGATAGGCACTTTAAACAACTTTCTTTACTCCATGCACCCAGGTGTAAAATGGGAACCTGACTCTAGCTGGGGAGGTAAAAGGCAGTGGAAGGAGAGGGATGGGCTCCACCTTCCAATACTGCTATAAATACTGTGCCTGGACACAGTGGACTACAAACCCACTAGCCCAGCTGCCTATAGCAAAGGCTATGGGACAACCTTTATTTACCTTCAAGTACCATAGTTATCAACCAAGGATTGAGGTGTTCAAACACTCAATTCTTTCCTAGAAGTATCACAGAGTGGAACTTGCTGTCACCATGTACAGTAGGGGCATCTTAACTAACCATTCTTGTGACCTCTGACCCCCAGATGATTGACGGCAAGGACATCCGCACCCTGAACATCCAGTGGCTGCGGAAGCAGATGGGCATCGTGTCGCAGGAGCCCATACTCTTCAACACAACGATTCGGGATAATATTGCGTACGGGGACAACGAGAGGGAGGTGACACAGGCCGAGATCGAGGCAGCCGCCCAGGCCGCGAACATTCACAACTTTATCATCAGCCTGCCGGAGGTAAGTTAAGCATTGTCTGCAAGCCTGTGAAGCTTGTGTGTTATGCCAAAGGGCAGTTATACCAGCTATACAGATACAGTCTCTCTCTCTGTCTGTCTGTCTCTCTCTCTGTCTGTCTCTATCTCTCTTTCTCTCTCTCTCGGTCTCTCTCTCTCGGTCTCTCTCTCTCTACACATTATGAGAGTAATTCTTTTGGTAAATATCAGGAGGTCTGGGCGGGCTCATGCTACAAGAAAGTGATCTTGATCCAGTTTTAGCTCACTGGTTGATAGATAACACAGACTCCATGTACACAATTTACAGGTTCATAGAACCGGGGAGACATTCTCCTAGCTCTTTTCGACAAGCACAATGATTGATATCCCTGTTCCAATTTTTTGTACAGACAAAAAAGTTTTCTATATAAGGTTTGTTATTTTGTACTGAAATTTTTTCTATTACCAGTAGGTGTGTCATAATTTTTTTCATGATGAGATTTTGTGATGAGCCTTTAAATGTGTAATATTGTGATGAAATTTTAATATGTATAATTGTATTTTTTTAGGGTTATGAGACGAACACAGGAGAGAAGGGTACGCAGCTCTCGGGAGGACAGAAGCAGAGGATCGCCATCGCTCGCGCTCTGGTGCGCAATCCCAAGATCCTCCTCTTGGACGAAGCTACGTCTGCCCTGGACACTGAGAGTGAAAAGGTGAGAGTGTTTGCAACAGATGTACATGTATTTACTCTTATTACAATTGTCACTGAATATGCTCTTTATATTAACTACATGCATGTATTTTTATTGCTACTGTTGCCTGTGAATTCCGTCTTGCTACTGACTGACTTTGGTCACTTGCATGGCATTTCTAGAAAGTGTAGGCTCTTAGCTTTCTATTGATGTATAACAAATTAGGGGTATTTTGGAGGAAATGAACCAAATATAAACCCCAGCACTGAGAGCATGAGAGAAACTCCAGCAGCTTATAAGGGTTAAGACAGATATACAGAATTTATGCATTCCTCAATACCTGTATTCCATCTTGTTCTTTAGGAGCCTACTACTAAATGAAAAAGGTGTAGGGGAGACTTTCTGGATTGGTTCTAGCTAGTAAGTAAGAAAAACTATATATACAGCAGTTAGGCTACAGCAATTTTATGGGTGACATTGATGTCTGTCTGCAAAAAATGACGATTCGTAAAATATATCTTGCAGGTTGTGCAAGAGGCCCTTGACCGGGCGCGGGAGGGCAGAACGAGCATCGTCATCGCACACCGACTCTCCACCATCTTCAACGCCGACAAGATTGCTGTGATTCACCACGGGAAAGTGCAGGAGATCGGCAAGCACCAGGAACTACTGGCTAACAAGGGGCTGTACTATAAACTGGTTAACGCACAGATGAAACAGACCTAGAAACCTGCTCTTCTACAGCACGTCGGCAGAATGTATTGCACCTGCGCGAAACCCGTAATGTATTGTGCATAGCACTTTGGCAGAACGTCTCATATAACTTGTATTTGCTCATATAAGGGTAGCATTAGGAAAGTAGTTTTCAAATGTTATGTCGGAAAAGATATCGTCTGCAACAGGCAAAATTCTGATGCAACGTTGACCAAAACTTCAACGAAAACTGCCTAAATCCAGGGTTCTGCGCAGGCGCAGTATGTTCTGCAAACGGGCTCTCTTTTACTGCTTTATATAGGGACTGTTTTTACATAGCCCTGTACTTTTTCTTAAGGGTACAGAGCTCAAAGTTTCATCTCTCTGCAGTCAACGCACAGATGGCACAGACCTAAAACTCTGCTCTTTTACTGCTTTATATAAGATGCAGGCTATAACTTAAGGTTTTGAAAATAAAACCAAACAGGCTCGTCATATTTAACACATTCACAGAATTCAATCAGAAACATTTTAGATTTAAATGGTGCAAACTCCAATAACTTCAAACAAAACCTAACCAATAATATGCTTTATTGAACTGCACAATCACTGGGAAAATTGTATCCCTAAGATTTTTAAGTGTGTATGTTAAAAGCCATTCTTGTCTTGTTGAAGTTCACGCATTTTCTACTGTCATATCTCTACATGTACTTCTTCTAACATGTACTTTGTACAGTATATATAAGGTTTTGTATGCTGCCAACTGTCTACTGATGTTGTACGAAAGGTTGTGACAAGCTGCTACAATACTGTAAGACATTATCCATATCTTTTGAGCTGATGACATTAATGGTTGTGGTACTAATTACCATTTTTTGAGATTTTGATATATTTTGGTCTTATATTGTTGTACATGAAACAACATCATAGCACTACTATGGAAAGTACTTAACCAAAGTATTTTATGTATTTTGTGTACTTATAGTCAATAGAACTTCTGAATTAGTTTGTGTCTTTCTCTAACTGTATTAAAATGACTCTAATCTTGAGGTCTTTTCTGTTCTAATGATGTTAAATTTCTACGTGTGTACATGTATATATATCTATATATAGGAAACTCAGGCAATCACAATTACCAATTGTATAAACTTAAAGGTGCCTTTTTCCATGATCTTGGAAGGGTAAAAAAAATTCTGGAAATTTTAAAGTTGTCCTTGAAAAAGCTTCTCTTGATACATTACTTATCACAACTGTTAAGAATCGATTGAAGAAAACGTTGCATCATAATGACATACAAATCAGCCATACTAATCCTATTCCAGAAATGGGACAAGTTTAATAATAAGTATTTATTTGTGTGGATATATACTGTAGCAAACAGGGTAGAGCAGAAGAATTTGGGGGAGTTCAAATGCACAAGTATTAGTTACAGTATCTACAATTGTTAACCATTTTTCATTTTCAATATAGTTGAACATCATTGTGTATGTCATATATGTCAGTCTCTGAAGACTATGACTATGAACATCATAGACTCTATATAGACTCTATAGACTCTGTGTTTGGGTTTGAGATGGTTTTGCTGAAGATGATATTTCAGGTTATTAAAAAATCTTTCTGTGTAATTATAATATGCAAGAATTATATTGTACATGATACCGGTGTTCCCTCTGTAAATATTTGTTTCTCTGTTTGATTTTCAAATCAAAGGGAATTGATAGAATGGTGAAGAAACATTTGTACAATGTTTGTGAAAGAAAAATTTTATGTGTTTGAGGTCACTATCTAGTGTAGCTGAGTGATGAAAACGATTCTCTTTATACTTTCAATGACATATACATTAATGCTTTGTAATATACAGAGTGATAACAAGAGTGTTCTGAAGATTATTATGAACCATGCAAGCTTTTGTCATGACTTTGTACTTTTCAAAATACAATATCTAACAGAAACAACGTAATTGTGTTCTTTCAATTTTACTATAGGCTAAAGAGCTCTGGCAATATAGATGGCATACTTGTAATTTATATTCTTCTAATGAGTGTAATTTTTTTCATTTGTAAAAACAAATGTGTTATAATTAGATTTTGAATCAGGTACTTTGCATACTACACATGGTTTTGAATTAGGTACTCTATGCATACTATATTTTGATGTATGGATGATACTAGACCCTAGGTTTGGTTACCGTTTTGTTGTGAGATTGTCTCGGTAATATTATGTGAAAGACAAAGAAATGAAGAGTAGAACCTTTAAAGATTTTTGTAAAAATTCTTTTTTTCCTTCCCCCAAAGGGGCACCTATATACTAGTATATAACCAGGCAGCATTCATATATATTAGATATTTCTCTTAGTATTAGGTCTTTGTGCTCCCAACTTGTGTTGAATTAATTTATTCGGATCGTAGTTTAATATTTCTTTTTGCTTAGATATCACAGAAAGTTTGACAATCAAGTTATTAGAGGGGAACCTGTCTTTTTGCTGCTCTATACTGTTATCTATGGGGAGACCTGTAAGTGTTACTGTGTGGATGGTTGTATAGATGCCGGCTATTAATATGTATTCAAGTTTACAAATTCTTGTAGTAAAGTTTCGTTTGTTACTGAAGCGGTTTCTGATGATTTTTTTTTTCTGTACAAAGTCAGAACCAGTCCCCTCTATCTTGAAATTCTTATAAAGATAACGTTATAGCTTAGTTGCACAGATCAAGAAAACTGCAAATTATCGAAAAAACAATTAATGATAAAATATGTACCAATACAAGCCATTATAAATATGTGGTTGATATATTTAAGCGTCGAGCAAGTAACTAAACGCTCTAAAAGGAGCGCACGCGTGTTGTTTTCACCATACCGTATGTGTTTAACATTGTGCGGATGTCGAGTTCAGCACCAAGGACAGGCACCGTTTCCACGGAAACTTGTGGTGCTTGGAGATTATGTATTGCATGCAAATAGAAGCTCTGTCACCTTGTGGTGTAATAGAATAGGATCTATCTAGGATCCGATAATTATTACTCAAAGCCTCAAGCTAACTGACTAACTTTCTATGCAGCTTTAAGACGATAATTTATGTCCAGGTACAAAAAGCGTTACTCGAAACCGTTTCTTTTATAAGATCAATATCCATTTGGTCCTCACATATATATTTATCAGTTTTTAGTATACGTTTCTCCCAGAGAGTAGTTGTCTGCGCCCTATTATGATATTGTACCGTATAGTACTGTATCTTTGACAGTAAAAGCAATAAGCCCTCGGACATGATTTTGCAAATAATGATATATATTTATTGTTCCGTAAAATCGCCGTTACCCGTGATACCCCGCGCCAGGATTTGAGCAGAAAAATTGAAGAAATGGCGGCGGCCGGCTGCCTGAGCTTTGCGCTGATCTGGACCGTCATTTCATATCTCTACATTGGAGCTACAGCACAGCTGACTAGGAACAAGGTAAGAAAAGAAGAAAGATGTTTTGGAGATCGTGAGAGAGACAGACAGAGAGAACGAGAGATAGATAGAGAGAAAGAGAGAGAGAGAAACCTACATTTCTCCTGCAGTCTCTTAGTGTCACTGACGAAAGGTAGTGGATGCTACCTGAAACGTCTGACCGTTTCCAAAACCATACCCAGTTGCTTGAGTACGTACCTGTTTTTTTGGCGTATCTTATTACCTGGATGTCTAACCTAAATAGAGAGAGAGAGATGATAGAATCATCTCTGTAATAGGAGGAGTTATAGTGATCGTACTTAGATGATGAAAGCTGTACAGTGTAGTCTTTAGGTATTGGGTACGGATATGAGTGAACACGAAAACAGGCGATACAGGTGTATGTGTTGGAGAAAAACACAGCTCTAACATGTCATCTCATCTGTTCTACATTGTAGATCATCAAGATTAGTAGTGTTTGAAACCTGTACAATCATGTTTTCATTTCTTCCATCATAATGTAGGTGTAGTGATCGTAATATCTGCAATAGCAATATACATTGCATGATTTGTATACATGTATATTTTTAAGTCTGTCAAGCGTGGCATATAAAGGACACATACACAATGCGTCTCATACCGTTGAAGTACTTATCATAGATACACGTTCCACGTTGTTTAGTACGCCGGTGTTGAAACCCCCGCCATGAGGCCCCGTTTTTACTGTAGTGCTGCGCTCCGTACCGTGTAATTGGGACATGTTTTCCCGTGCGGGACCAAGCGTAGATTGATTCTTTTACTGTTCGTCTTTACTTAGCCTCGAATCCAGGCTTGTTCGGGCAGTTCTGCCGTGGTATTGTGGCACTGGTCATCTTTAATTGGGCTGGGTTCCAGGCTTGTTAGGTTGCGTACCATGTAATTGGGACAGTTTCCCCATGCGGTTCGAAGCGTAGATTTATTGTTCTACTGTTCATCTTTACTTTAGATTTACCTAGTTTGGGATCCAGGCTTGTTTGGCTCAGTACCATGTAATTGGGACAGCTTCTGCTGTGCTATTGTGGTACTCGTCTGGTTCATCTTTACTTAGCCTGGGATCCAGGCCTGTTCGGCTACGTACCGTGTAATTGGGACAGTTCCCCCGTGCGGTACGAATCGTAGATTGATTTTCAACTGTTTATCTTTACTTAGCCTGGGATCCAAGCTTGTACTGCTACTGCTTAGTAACTGGGAATTGGTACAGTTCTGTCCACTGTAGATTTTTTCTCTATCTCTGTTCATTGATAGCCAATAACAAAGACAAGCAAATTGTAACTGTATAACAATAGCATAACCATATAATTAAAGTTGCCATTTTAACATAGAAGGACGAATCAAATATAGAATGATTGAATCCACAATTGTATAAGGAATGGAACCAAAATATGTCTCTTATATCTAAGATAGATTGCCATTTTAAGAAGACTGTAGTGATTTTATGGATATATATGAATCGCATTTCGTTATAAAAAGTCTAACACTATTTAGCTGCTGTGAATACAAACGACGTGAAATCGGCGGTGCGTTTAACGACGAGCGGCTGAGTACAGTTTCATCACGGAGACAGCTGGTCTCCATTCACACATCGATCCACACGGCTGTGAATGAAGCCGGAATGTTCGCCGATAGAATTCTCAATTAGTCCTCTTCTGCAATGAGGATTTGGGTTAACGTGTTTTACAGGTGATCCGAATGGAATGGAAACCGGATATTCTGCTGAACTACCACAGGACGCCGCTTGACTTTGACTTTATTGGGATCCACATTTAGCATACATGTACAGGACAGTAGCTAGAAGGGACATAATCGAACTTGTATACGATGCTTGGTTTTGCCAACACCTGACCACATACTGGATATGACACGAGTCCATCCACAATTTATCCAGTTCTGCTGTCCACAAAATTCACATGTTCAAATGCTTTTACAGACGAAAAAATACCTTCGCTAGGAATGTTATGCTTGCGGTTGTTGTTGTATAGAAACGCCGGTCTATACATGAATATTGAGGCGTCATATGCTCTGCAAACAATGACTTAAAGCCTGCGAACGGTGTCAACCTGACTCTAAATTACAGCATGGTCTGACCCAGTATCCATTGTTGTGGTCATTTAAAACAAACCCCGATCGATACTGCAACTGTGAGTCAGAAATGAATTGCCACCCCTGGATTTGGAATCGTGCTAATCGTGGTTTTTATTCTCTGCACGTCCCTGTTATTTTACCGTGTCTAGCCAAGCTGTGTAGGGTTCAGGTTTATGTTTCTTAGAAGACAATATATCGAGGGGGAGATATAATAGTGTACGTTGTAACTGTAGGAATGTCCCAATAGAACAATGAATGTATTACGGTACTTATCATGGCTCAAGCATGTCAGTAGGTACTTGAAATGAGGCAGCCAGTTTCGGAGGTCAAAATGGTCTCTCTGCAATCTGGGTTGAATATGCGAGGATTCCGGGAGAAATTCTAATCCATCGGAATAAAAAGAAAGATTCGCAATAACTCGAAATACTTCAAGGATCTTTAAAGCCATTGGCTATTTTCTGCTGCCACTGTGTCCCCATGATAGCTTTATTTTCAGGTAGTTTTAGTAATCCCTCCCTTCATTTAAATTGCACAATAATAACTAACTAAAAGTACATTTTAGTCCACCGCTATTGTATAGATTATCTGATTTTACGCTTTTTTCTCTCCTTGCACAGAAAGTCGAGCCCATTACTGCGGAGACAGTGGTGTTGGGGCCGCTCCGTCTGTGGCAACTTATCGCGATTGTCGTCACCGGGGTCTCCTCTATAGGTATGTATGAAACATATCTAATATCAATCTTCTAACCAACGCATAAGCTTTCATGAATGTTCATCTGTGTTGGTAGTTACATGTTTAAAGTTAAAACTTTTGATCCAACACAAAGAAATCTCTCACCTAGAGCTTTCGACCAGTAACTCTGGTCTTCCTCAGTAGACTGACCCAGTGAAGCCTGTCACGAAGCTTCTTTGAAGTGTGACGTCAACACTGGGTCAAAGGTATCTGGTAAACAGTGTCGGCCCCCGTCGCGGTTTAATGAAGCTACATGTATTAGACCCCAACGCATAAGCTATCAGGTTTAGATAGACACCACTTATGCTAATGATATCGAGGAAAAAGCCCGGTAAATTTGTATTCAAAATATATGGTATATTGCGTATTGCTTGGAGAGTGTTGTTGAAACAAAGTGTGTGGTCTTTACTGGTAGTTTAGTCATAGTATAGACACAACTGCACTGTGTTGTTGTATTGATGGCCATGTATCATAGAGGCAGATGCAGTAATGATCAAAATCACTAGGCGGCGTGAGTGCTACACCGCTGTGCCTTGCTTTGATTTATTAAACTGTATAAACAGATATACGGCCAGGACTGCCCAACTGGCCAGAGGCTATTATAAAGGGCTAGCCCTAATAACAGAACACTAAACAATTATTAACAACAATGTCGGTTACAATTCAGATACATTAACGTACTATATGTAGCAGATAAGTCATTCTAAGTACGCAAATAACTTATTAGGGGGGGGGGGACTAACACAGGTGACGGCGCGTCTGTAAAATCTGTGGCGAACCCTTTCAGGGTGCTCCGTAGCATAAAAAAAGGAGTACAGAGATTCTTTCATACTTTAGACCAAATTGATTATTAAAAAAAGTAAAGAAAATACACTGTTAATTTCTCTAGAACAATGTACCTCTGACGAAGACATGGGATCTCCGACCTCTAATTTATAGCTGGATACAATTCCTGCTTGATGCAACAAGGAATGTGGCAAGCGTGTTTTAACAATCAGGTATTAATTCCGGTCATTATTGTCCTGTATGTGAAAGAATTTGTAAATATTGTAATGCTAAGGCTGTGGAAGACGAAATACACTTTATCTCAAATTGTTCCTTTCATAGCAACGCTCGAAATGAGTTAACTATTCAAACTTCTATAATTTATCCCAATTTTATTAAACTTACAGACCAAGAAAAAACTATTCTTCTTTTAACTTCACAAAACCCACTGATTTTAGAAAAGGTGGGACATTACGTCTTCCATGGTCTAAAAAAGAGAAGTCAAACCCCTTTGACATAGTTTTAGACGTAGCTATAGCTCTAGACAACTACCTTTTATCATGTTGATTTTAGTTATTTTATACTACGTTTTATTGTTCTTTTATGTTTGTAATCTGCAATTAGCCCCCCCGGGCATGAATTTCTAATAAAACTTCAATTATTGTTGCCTGCCCTTAACTTTGGACTTTGCTCCTACACAATGTATGCTGTGCACTATAGCATTACAACTTGTGAGCACCATAGATGTTTTCATATGGCCTTACCTCTTTCCCTTACGAATATGTGAATACTAACACAGTAACACAGACGAAATACCGGTACCGTACACAATTTATGGCTCAGAGACGTCAACATCGAAGGAAAAAGACAATATTTGCAGTTGTACAAAGAAGCTTTGTAACTTGTTGCATCAATGTATGGCAATGGTATGCTCTTAGACAATATGGACATCTTCTTAAAGTTTTGCCTTCTCTTGTTCGTAAAATTCAAACAAACATCGCACGATGTCGTCTTCCCCTCTTTTGACCTGAAACAACAAGGAGACAGGCTTGGACAGGATTTCCCACGACTGTACTTCCAACACGTCTCCCGACAGAGCTTCTCTCTGGAACAACATGGCGATTTTCTTTACTGGATATTTCAGCACGTACCCCGACAGCGATGTGTACCTACCGGCCTTCGTACCAAACGCAGCCGTATCGGAACAGAGTCGTACATACACGGACTGGTTCGTATGTCCATTCTCGTCAATATCGCTCTCTCCGACCGTACACTTGCAGGAGTACATGGGCGGCGTATCTGGCGGGATCGGCAAGCTATACGTTGGCCGGGGTCCCTTGGTCCTCCTTCGCAGATTTTGTGGAAGGGCGGTGGGCTGGCGAGTCGAGATGTCCACATGAATCAACTGGCAGCTCTGGCGGCAAAGCAAGTCTTGAGTCTTGGCAAGACGAACGTCCCCCTTGCAGATATAAGACGTCTTGCCGACATAACCTGCAAATTCCAAGCCTGATTTTAATCTTGATTTCTTTTTTGTCCTACCTTGGTTCTATGTTATATGATGGTCAGGCTTCACTTTTGTTTCACTTATTTTGGTATTATGATTTCATGCGCAATGTATGCTACTTAAGTTACCTTGCTTTTGTATTATTTAGTAACTTTTGTAACTTTATAAGCTACTTTAATTTTGTTGTTATTTGTATTAGTTTGAGTTTGATGTTTTTGTTTGGGGTCTTCCCCAGGCCCAGGGCTCATTGAAAAGCGCCCTACGGGCGATATGTATCCCCCTGGTTAAATAAATAAAAACAAACAAACAAACAAACCTATCTCACTCACGACCTCTACGGCAGAGTTGTACTTGACTTTGGTGTAGAATTCTGGATAAAGATAGAACTCTTGGTAACGTGAGAAGACAGAGACAGTTTCTAGGAGCCCCGGTATGCTGAAAACGTCCGACTGCTCAGGTCTGGAGTAGGATATCAGTTGTGCTAGAGTCCAGATATTCGGGACACCTGTGCGATCAAAGTAGAACGGACTGAGTTGGTAGGTTGTCAGGAGTTTGGTGCCGTCTTCACTCAACCGGCGGCTAGACTTCATGCTGACTCTTTGTTTAGAACATAAACGACTCCATGTACGTACGTACGTTTGAGCAGAAAGTGAGTTTAAAAGTAGCTGAACGCTATGCAGCCATTTCCGTATGTTGTCCGTTAGTACTTTGACCTCCAAGCTTTGACCTGACTGATCTCCAAAATGGTGGGCATTCATTTCCGGCATGTCGGCTCAAAAGCGACATCTTGCAGCTGAGGAAAGTACTGCAATCAAACAGTAGACTTTGATCTAAAATAGCATGAAAGTTCATCTGTGTTAGTACAAATCATTATGAAATAAAGACTAAGCTTTAACTTCCAACACTTAGATTACAGAATTGGGACTTACCCAAATTTTCAGTTGACTCCATCAACCTTGTTCACGGAATGGACCCGTCTATTCTTGGAACGTGACGTCAGAGACACGTGACCGTAGTAACGCGTCATACGTGCCAGATAACTTGTGTCGCCCCCCGTCTCTGTTCAGGGTAGGTCTGTGAGCTCTTATGTAGACTGCCTCCTTAACTCCTCTTCTAAGAGTAGACGGGTCCATTCCGTGAACAAGGTTGATGGAGTCAACCGAAAATTTGGGGTAAGTCCCAATTCTGTAATCTAAGTGTTGGAAATTAAAGCTTAGTCTTTATTTCATAGTAGACTTTGATCATTACCTTCGCCAAGAAGGTTATGTTTTCTGTGGTGGTAACTGCCTGGAATTTCATACTTGGGGTATTTGAAAGTTAAGTGAAGGTGAATATAACCTATTTGAATAACGACCTCATTTGCATAATTTCTGAGAAAATGCTAGAATCTTCGTTAAGGTATTAAGACTGTCCTGGTGTAGAATATTATCGACAGATGTAATTCATGCAATTTAGAATCCTATTTGCATAATCAGGGGGATTAATGTATACTTTCTTAGTCATAAGAAAGTCATTTGGCGAAGGTATGAGATCGTGAAACTCTAGTTAAACTGTATGAACAGATACTAGTATACAGCCAGGACTGCCCAACTAGCCAGAGGCTATTATAAAGGGCCAGCCCTCATAACAGGACAGTAAACAATTATAAACAATGAACAATGTCGGTTACAATTCAGATACATTAACGCACTATATGTAACAGAAAAGTCATTATAAGTATAGAGGCGATCTGTGTTATTAGCCTAAGGCCATGTTGATTTGATTATATGGATGACATCCTCCGGGAACCCCAAAACTGATGCGCGCGTGCGAATAAAAAAAAAGTTTTGCAAAAAAAAAGTTCTTTTCATTATGAAATCTACGTGGTCATTAGGGTTGAACAAATGGGACAGAATATCGTTTGGCGAATAATCTAATCTTCAAGTTCATTTCCTTACAATTTCGTCTTTTTTCGTTTGATTTTGGCATTCTACGACATTGGTATAGTTTTTACTTATTTTTTTGTAACTTACGGTATATTTTTGCTCATTTTGCAACTGTTTTGTACGATTTACAGTATGGTTGAAAACTTTTTTTGGGGGGGAAACGGCCGAAAATTCATGCGCGCGCGGATGTCATCCATATAATCAAATCAACATGGCCTAACTTAAGGTGTCTGAGCTGAGCACCATGCGCTTGCTAGAAAACGTTTTAAGAGACATTCAATTCAGATGCACCGTTGTGCTTTCCACAGTTTAAGTGACATTCAATTCGAAATGAAATCTTTGGTTTATTTCAAACACAAACACAAATCACAATACAGCTCCATCACTAGGCAGCCACAAGGCTGAATTGTGTGAATGAAAGCGTTAGACAGTGAAATAAAATCCTGGTCATCATTCCGTGTTTTAAAAACAGTCATTAAATTATATTACAATCATACATTTACACAGACTATTCAGATGCACCGTTGTGCTTTCCCCAGTGATCACGGCCTGTTGCTTCTCCAAGTGTCGCATCCAGTTTAATATAGTCAAGTCAATCTTGCACAATGGGTACAATGCATGGCAAACTCTTCAGTACTACATAATATATTATCTAACATCTACTCTTACGTCTACAGTAATACCTACAAGATCTATGTATCGAAAATAACATTGTACTTTTTCAAAAAGGTAATATAGTACATGTATATATAATATTACATGGAACATGGTTTACATGATAATATAACAGACACGACTAACAGTGCTGTATAGATGCACCTCTCTCCCAGACAGAGACAGGTGCAGTAATGTAGAGAATCCCTAGGCGGCGTGACTACCAAACTATTGCTTTGCCTTCCTCAGTGATCACGGCCTGTTGCTTCTCCAAGTGTCGCATCCAGTTTAATCATAAACACGACTAACACAGTGTTGTATAGATGTACCTGTCTCAGAGACAGACAGGACAGGTGCATTAATATAGAGAATCCCTAGGCGGCGTGACCAAACTATTGCTTTGCTTTCCCCAGTGATCACGGCCTGTTGCTTCTCCAAGTGTCGCATCCAGTTTAATCATAGACACGCTAACAGTGTTGTATATATGTTCCTGCCTCACAGACAGAAACAGGGACAAGAACAAGTGCAGTAATGTAGAGAGCCGCTAGAAGGCGTAGTCACCACACCTTTCTTCTGTCCCCAGTGATCACGGCCTGTTGCTTCTCCAAGTGTCGCATCCCACGAACCAAGAAGGAGATCGAGGCTCGGAACGCCAAGAGAGAGAACCCGATGGGCTACATGAACCAAGTCGCCATGCCGCAACAACAACAACAACCCGGGGCTCCAAGACCCGCGCCGCCGCAACAGCAAGGCGGTAAGATCGGGACCAAGGACATATCGTTTCCAGAATTGTGTCTATCTTTACATGTAGTTCTTTGCCTGAATACTTGTAGGTTAGGCTTAGGATCAGCCACTGATCTGGATAGTCTCTGTCGTGCCTATCTGGGATAATCTGTTTCTATGCCTGAATTGGTTAGGGTTAGGATCGGGCGCGGTTCTGAATAGTAGGCTCTGTCGTATCCAGAACCGTGTCTATCTAGTCCTAAGCCTGAATGGGCTACATGAACCAAGTCGCCATGCCGCAACAACAACAACAAGCCGGGGCTCCAAGACCCGCGCCGCCGCAACAGCAAGGCGGTAAGGGGGTTATAATGAGTGTTGGTCATTGTTTACATAGAATCCAGCCTAGTTAGGATCCGTTAGCCCATTCAGGCATAGGACTAGATAGGCAATTGGATACAATATAAATATGCTAGCCTGGAGTTCAGCTTTGGTCCGCTCCCCCGCAAACAAGATCTTGGGGAGCGGACCAAAGCTAACAAGGTTGGGCTCCAGGCTGGCATATTGTATCCATAACTGTCAGTACTTAGTCCTATGCCTGAATGGGCTACATGAACCAAGTCGCCATGCCGCTACAAGAGCAACAAGCCGGGCTCCAAGACCCGCGCCGCCGCAGCAGCAAGGCGGTAAGGCCATAGCCTCTACCAGGCTTCGGGAGGTGGCTGGATAGAGTCGAAATTGGCCAAATAGAGAGATGCTAGGAGAGTTGGTCCGCTAGAGAGTACATTAGACGCTAGTAAGACATATCATATCAATGATTATCTAGTTATATGCAGGAATAGGATAGATTAAGGATCAGGTACGGTTCTCGATAGTCTTCGCTTATCCAAGATTTGCACCAGGGGCAGGTCTGGATACGGGGCTATTCTGAACCGTACCAGAGCAAGGTTTGGATAAAGAAAGGTTCTGGACAGGGCAATTTGTCTTTGTGCTGAAAAAAATCGAAAACTTTGAATCGGACACACTTTTGATTAATACAGGGAGGGATACAGAGCTTCTTTTACACTCACACAGTTGTATGATCAACCCACTGCGCCAATATTTTAGCCCGTCAATTGGGGGGGGGTCGGTTAGTGCCAAAAACAGAGAGCAACTTGTTGGTAAACTTTCTTTCATCATTTTTCTCCTGTTCTCTTCAGGAGTGGTCCTGCAGCCCTCAGCTCTGGAAGCTGCAGCGTTTGAGGAGTTGGAGATGGCGTCCGGCGGGAGGGTGCCGTGAAGTCGGAACAGCAATAATGCGAACCTACATCTCCAATTGGTCAAACGTTACGTTACGTCACGTCCGGTGTAACGTCACATCCGGTGTCGAAAGGCGAAACATGAAACTGAAATCATGCTGACAACTTCTCTCTTGTAGCAAGGAGATCCAAACATGTTTTAAGTAGCCTTTTAATACCAGGCCTCGGGAGGCGGCTGGAAAGAGTAGAAATCGGCCAAATATAGAGGTAACATGCCGAGGAATTTGGTCCGCTCTAGAGTACATTTCGGGAGCAGCAAACTGTACTCAAGAGCGGACCAACTCTCTTGGCATGTTATCTCTAAATTTGGCCGATTTCTACTCTTTCCAGCCGCCTCCCGAAGCCTGGTAGAGGCTAATGTGAAGCTCCTTGCTTGTGGGAGGAATTTCAGTTTGTTCCTTGGTGACACCTACGTAACTAACAAGAGAAGTGACCCCGCAAAAGTGTGGCTTTAAAATAACATTGACTAAATTGTGTAGTCATTACGACCAACTGTTGACTTGCCGCTAGTTCCAATACTTTCAGGCATTCCGAACTTGAAGTATGGTTTTCTCTAGTGACACTGACGAAAGGTAGTGGATGCTACCTCGTTTCCAAAATCATATCCAGGCTTGAGTAACAATTTTTTGGCGTATCTTATTACCTGGATGTCGAACCTTCACCGACGTATTCCGAAAAAGTACTGCACTTTTTGACGACTTGGTCTTGTCTGTACCACCATGAATAATCAATATTTATAGTCAAAGAAATTACTCAAATAGATTATTAGACATGTTACTGGGTAGTGGCTAGTATGTGAATCATTTGCATACAAATTTTGCTAATGAGCAGGATTGTTATCTTGAAAGTTCATCTGTGTTGGTAGAAGTCATTATGCAGCAAGTTTAAACTGTAATTTCCAACACAAGAAATTGGACTCACCCAAATTTTCGACTGTACAACTCCAGTCTTTATCAAGGAATGAACAATCCACCGCTTCCGTGACGTCACGCAGATAACACACGTGACTCCGTGAGCAGTGGATCATAGGTTTCAGAAAGTCTGTGGCGCCCCCCGTCTCTGTTAAGCAGGATTGTTGATGTAAGCCATTTACAGGTGGTCATCACCATGCATAAGATTTACAAAAACACTAAATATGCATACGGAGGTATGAGATCGCCGAACTCTAGTATTCAATGTATATATACATTAGATTCCTTTTAATGATGGATATCTCAAGTCATCTATCCATAGTGACCACTGTGTATCTCCCTCCTGATATTAATAAAAAAAAATAATTAAAAAAAAATTAATAAAAAAAGTTTATTGCAATTTTCTGTCCTAATTGCAAATAATATGGACACAGGGTACAAAATAACTATATTATCTACATAACAAAAGGTAATTGTCTGGAGATATGGTTGAAGGGTTATTATTATTATAGTTTTAGGAGCTATCGGTAGTTCTCTGTGTATCAATTGCCTGTGTCAAGTACCAAATGTTTTTCTGTATTCGGGTTGAATTTGCAATAAAACAATTGATTATTATGTTTACCGAAGGAAAACATATTGTTTTTGCTCTGTTTCTTCCTCTTCTTCTTCTCCAAACAGTGACCTCTGACCTGACCAATGACATGATTTGTTGACGTCTGTCACCTTGGTGACTGGTGTTCGGTTACATAATGTTGCAATTTCACGGTCTCCTCTGCTCCTGTCACCATATACTAGTAGTACATGTATGTGAATTAACAGAGGAGACCATGTCCGAAGGTAAACATTATGCATTTGCTTGCAAATGTTACTTCTCTAGTTATTGTCTTCGTCAAGAAGGGTATGTGGTCCGTATGGTGTGGGTCCGTATGTAGGTCAACGTTATAACTCGATTGTGTGTCGGCGCATTTTCTACCACTCGCCAAGAAGGTTATGTTTTCAGGGGCGTTCGTGTTTGTGTGTGTGTGTTTGTGTGTTTGTGTGTGTGTGTGTGTGTGTGTGTGTGTGTGTGTGTGACTTTGGGTACTCTTTCTCGCGGACTACTACAAAAACCGTCCGCTCGTGTGTCCTTGATTGTATGTCCAGTGTTGGAGCGATCAGTATGAACTTAAAGGTACATTGTACAAAGTTATGCAGAGCTAACTTAAGCAATTACGTAATCAGGATTTTGTAAAAAAAATACGACGATGATGTAGTCGCCTTATGTCTCTTAAAATAGCCATGATCTATTTTGTAAACTTTTCTTTCTTTTGTCCAGAAAAAAAGCCAACAAAATAGAAGCCGGGACCGTAAAACGTAGAAAAAAGCGATAAAAAAGACATCCTGAAAACAAAACAAAACTCTGCTTGGATAGTATGCAACTGGCACGCAAGAATTCTCTATACACTCAATCAAATTAACCTGTCCAGCCAATGACAACATAGCAAGTTATAGTTCGACCAATGAGAGAGCGGCAGCATTTACGAGTCGAACCAATTATCAGACCAACCAATCACAGCATGGCAGTTTGTAGATTGACCAATGAGAGAGCGGCTGCACTTACGAGTCCAACCAATTATCAGACCAACCAATCACAGCATGGCAATTACTAGATCGACGTACTGAGATGTACCAACGGCTGGTAGGAAGGGGGGGGGGGTACGGGTTTTCAAGTGATTATATATCGAGACAGAACAACAAGAACAAAAATTAAATACACACATTCAGAAACTTTCTCCACAAGAAAACGTTTGCAAACTGCGCAAGAATTTCCTTAAGGATTTTGAACGGAGCACTTCCGCTTTCTTAAATACTCCTCCAGGAGAAAATTGAATAGTCCAAGCATCAACCATCAACCGTGGAGGTTTGTATTCAAATGAGAAGTTTCATTTGTGAAGATGACCCAGCACAAGGAGGGATTGCCTGCTCACAAGGTAAGTTTTTTTTCCATTCCTAGCCGTAGAATAACACTGGCTATCCACGTATTGCCTTCGGCAGTGTTCGCAGAGAAACTGGAGATGACTTTTGAGTCTTTTGTAGGATTTTACTGAAAGAAATAGTCCACGGAAATGAAGTCACCCTCATGAGCATGTGGCACCCGGCAAGCTTTTTGGAATTTGTACATTCTCCTACTGAAAGTTATTCCGTGAACATCTCTAAATTCTTCATTTTCAGTGAATGTGGTACCAAAGATCAAATAGAATGCGTGTGATTGAAGTTTCCAACCGCAAGTTTTAGCAATTTTCGGTCAAGATTGTGGCTAGAAAAATTACGGGTTCTTTCGGATCACCTGTCAATCTCTCGTCTCGTGGCTACCGGTAACAAAAGTTATCGCCAAAAGCCTGTATCGTTATTTGAAACTGCTGAATCCAAACGTGTTTATAGCATTTTATTTAAACAAACAGTGTTAAATTAGGGAGGCTTTCTGTCATGAAAATCTATATTTTCATGGTTAAAGTAGATTTTTTGCTCGATTCTTGTCAACAACATCGGCTCCTGGTAATATATGCTCGGTACCGGGCCGCAGTTCCCGCCACAAGTTTTTGCCATAAGCGTCATTTGAAATTGCTTAAGCTAAACGTGTTTATAGCATTTTATTTAAACAACCAGTGTCAAATTAGGAAGGGTTTCTGTCATAAAAATCTATACTTTCATGGTTAAAGTAGATTTTTTGCTCGATTCTGGTCAACAACGGCTCCCGGTTATGTATGCTCGGTGCCGGGCCACAGTTCCCGCCACAAGTTTTTGCCACAAGCGTCATTTAAAACTGCTTAAGCCAAACATGTTTGTACACTTTATGTCAACAGTCAGTGTCAAATTAGCGAAGGTTTCTGTCATGAAATGTCTGTTTTTATTCTTATAGTTGCTTTTTGCCCGATTTTGGCCAAGCCTCTCGGCAGCTGATTTATCCGTCAATCACCGGTTTCCTGTAGTTACCGAAGATGTTTTGGTCATGTTTCCCGCCACGATAATGTATGCATAGCCCTGGCTCCGACCGCCAGAAGACCTGTAGCGTTACATGTTACAACTTGAGCCAAACATATCTGGAGCAATTTATTTGAACTGCCGGTTTGAAATTGTGCACGTTTTCTGTCACGAAATGGCAACTTTTAATGCTTCTTGTTGTTTTTTAACCAGGTTTCCAGCCGGCCGGCCAAAGGCGGGGTTTGGATGCCATGGCGTCAGAATTCCTCCATCCAGGTGCGCTTACTGTAAATTTCACTATTTCTAGCTGAGCTAGAATGAACCGTTTTAAAGATGTACTCGTACGTGTACGTTATCCTGTACATTGTGAGAGATTAGCGCAGTGTGTTGACTGACATCGTGTCCATATGTATCGTAGAGTTGACTGATTCTGTGCCCGTAACGTAGAGTTAAGCCTTGTGTTTTCGGTTAAATCTGCAGGTTGCACCGACGAATTTACGCACCCCTCTTGTATCGGGGTCCGTCACATTAACTAACTATTCAATATGTCTTGGTAACTTGTAAATGTTTTGGAGGTATCGTTAACAATAGCCTGGGTTAACTTGCTTGTTTAGGCACAGTTGTTATGCCCGGTTCTCCTATATATTCACCCAAGTACATTCTAATTTATGAATACATAAATTGCTGACATTCATAATCAACTCTTCTTACATTGGTCTTACAACAGCAGCCTCTAAACTATTAGTCTTTCCTTTTGCACACATGGCGCCCCCTGATGGCAGAAGACGGTACTGCAGCACTCAACAGGTTCTGGATGAATCTGAACTCGAGGAATGGATTGGATCGTGGATTGAATCGTGGGGCTCGTTCCTTTATACCAGATGTTTCCTGAAGGATGCAAGCTTCACGAAGACGACTTGACCAGATGAAATTTAATTTTTTTTTACCGTCAAACATAAAGAGTAAGGGAGAGGGCGTTAGGAGACTTTATATTACATGCAATATTTAGTGTGAACAGTTTTGCAGTTTATGTAGGGAATGTTTGGACACGATGTGCCTTGTTTTTACTTTTATGCGATATTTATGTCATTATGTTACTTAGTAATAGA